ACAGGAGGCTCTGAGACATGTTTTTCTCTTCACTTGAGGTCAAAAGGCATGTAAATATCTTATAGCTGTTTGCTTTGGATCAGTTTTCCAAAGGATGATGAGCACTGGTAGGTGCTCCCACACTTCAGGTTGATGTTACTATTGTCTCTTTTGTTCACATGGTTGCGTCAGGGGATAATCCTTGCATAGCGTGACAGTTTTCCTTTCCCTCTCCAGGGGTTAGCCTGCTCAAGCCAAACTGTGAGCCCCAGTGAAATAATACAAAGACATTTTGCTTTTTTGAAAGTTTCTTCCATCTCTTGAGAACAGTGGGTTCGTTTTTCCCCAGTCCAGTGTGCTCGAGAGGCCCTGCCTGAGCTGGTGGCTTTCCAGGTGCCATTGGCCTGGGAATTGGCTCCTGTAAGGCAAAGTTGTGTTTATTACAGACTGTGTTCATGATTCCAGTTTCACTGTCAGAAAGCAATGACCAGAGACCATAGGCCAGGAGGGCACTGGCTCCATGAGATCCTCTTGGCAAGGCAGGAGGATGCAGCGTGCTGTGGTTCTGCTGCAGTGAGTGGGGGAAATACCAAAAGTCAAAAAAAAAAAGGTGGAAAAGCTTAGCTTTCTGTTGAGTTATCTTCCACTGTCAGACCCTCAGCCTTGCTACACTACTGTTGTGTTGGTGCAGTTGGTTAAGTCCCAGCCTCACTTACAGAGATCCATGCATGGCAATTATCTTGGCTTGGCAGTGCCTCTGGGTGCTGTTTGAGAGGTGGTGTGGGAGATAACTCCTGAGTGGTACAAACCAGGAACCTTTGCCATCAGAGGGAGGCCAGCAAACGGGCTGATCTTCAGGAGGGTAACAAAACCAGCCTTAAGGACTTGAGTCCATACAGCTCCTCTCCTACAGGCAGCAGGAGCTTTGTCAGCCCTGTGGTGCTCAGCACATGGTCGTAACAGTGGACCTACATTTGTGTTCAAAGTGTTCCTCCTGCATCTCCCAGTCTTCCTAGAAAAGAAGACTTGTGTGAGGTGGAAGCCATTCTTCACTGGTTTTACCCCTAAGTTGTTACAGCACTGGTCCCTCATAGATTGGTGAGAACACTGCACTGCTGAGACAGTCCTGAGTGTTGTGTAACCAAATTTCCGCTTTTTTTTCCTTCCTGAGCACCTTTCTAAACTCGGTGGCAGGCTGAGTGCAGGGGTAGGGTGCAGAGGAGGATTTTTCTAAGGAAAATTCCTCTTACTGACTTTTTAAGCTGTGGTGGGAGGATGACTAACTGTGGGTACACCCAGACATTTCCCTTTGGACACACCTAAAGACACACTTTCCAAGAAGATCATGCCACCTTCCAGTATGGGTGGAGAGAAAATTTAAAGGGAGACAGGACTGCTGGGTCTTGATGTCCATAATTCCATCCCTCCTAGTGTCCCAGTGGGGAATTTTAGCAGAGCACAGTCCTGGGGTGATTTATGGTGTACTGCTAAATGAGATTTCTTCATTTCTTTGTCCTCCATCAGCAGATGTGTGTTATTTGTAGACAGCAGAGGCTGTTGCCTATTTTTACACTCAATTAAATTGTAACTTCATTGCTGGGGCCTCTGCTGCAAGAACTACAAGTCAGGCAATGATCCAGACTGATTAATTATCAGCTTAATGCCTTTGGCAGAGGCCTTTTGCTGCTATTGTGGAGCATGGTCAGGGTGCTGCTACACTTTGTGATGAGAGGAAAAGTTTGGGGGTTGTCTCTGTGCTGTTCCCTTCATTGAGCTTGTTTAGTGACAGGATTAGCCTTGGCTGCACCAACTGGCACATGTGAATAAGAGGTCCAGAGGAAATTATCTGTGGTGCTTCTTGGACATGAGCCTCTGCAGAAATTCAACAAACTGTCACACTTTTCTTGTTGCTGATATGGAAACAAGTGGGCTGGGTGTTTTGGGGTTTTTTTTTGGAGAAACTGGTCGCTTGCAAAATTTGGCTTGCAGTATTTTTTCCTTGTTTTGTTAATGAACAAATCATAAATATAGTGGAAGGATAAAAATGGGCAAGAAATAGTTTCTGCTGCTGAATCATCTTGAGAAAAGTCCATCAGCCTGTTTGAGAAGACAGAAGTGTCTTTAGACAGCTGACTCCATTGTAACCAGAGTAAGCTCTACTGGCTTTTTACAAACAAGAGCTCGTTTCTGGGACTCTTCCTGAAATAAATGTCTAGTTTTGTTGGCAAAATTCTACAAATCTCCTTCTGGTAATTGGGTCTTGAAATGCTGAAGCTGCAAATGTGGAAGTTGTTCTCCCTACTAGAAGCATCTGTGATCTGAAAATACCCTTGCTAGATGTTCCTCTGCTGCGGTGGGTGTGTGTGCAGCAGGGAGCTGGAATGTTCAGAGGGTGCAGTTGCCAGGGGATGGTTGAGGGAGCCATCTACTTCTCTCCTAGAAGCCTTTTAGACATTGCCCTCTTATCCCACCAACACAGGGTGAAGAGATAAAACCACCAACCACCAAGGTCACGTTATTGTTGGGAAGTCGAGCATCTCCCTTGCCAGTGAAGGTCCTTGTTTAACCCTGGTCACTGTACATGCTGGCTGCCAAAAATCAATGGCTTGCTTGGTGATGTTTGTTTGCAGAGTCTTTAAATAATGTAGAGTGGAAAAACAACTAAACTGCTCAGTGTACATTAGCTGTTGGCTAACAAACTATTACAAATATCTTCTGGGCTTGGTTTGTGTAAGCTCTGCTTCCTCTTAATTTTCTACATAGGTAACAATGTACTGAGCTTCCCCAAACCTGGCTGTCACTACACATATTCATGTATTATTGAGCTGCAATGAACACAGCATGTTTAGCCAAGAAGTGCCTGTGAAAACTGTTGCTGTGGCAGTGATGAACTTGGTGTGGGCTGCAAAAACCACTTCAGACACTTCCTTTGTGCCCAACAATTGCCTGGCACTGAGCTCCCTGAGCAGCTGCACTGTACTTCTGGTGTGTCTCGTCTTCTGGTACATCTGGGGCTGGAGTTCCTGTAGAACTGAAAGTCCTGGGTGTCTTTCATCAGCCTTGGCTTTCCAATGTTCCTGCTTAGGACAGCAGGAGCTGGTGGGCTTTGAACACTCCTGAACATTCTCCCTCAGCGCTTTGTCACGTGCAAAGCTTGTAATGATGCTTGGGATTTTCTCCTTGCACTGCTTCCCTTTGACTGGTGCTTTTAACCACAGACTGGTTTCCCACTTCACCCAAAGTGTGTATGAAATTGGATGACTTAATGTGTGCTGCTTTCAAACGCAGGGGTTGGAAAACAAAGCCTGTTTAAAGTAGTGCTTGTCATGCAAGGAAGTGCAACAAACGCCTTCTTGAAGTATCAGAGAAAATTGCTTTCTGAGCAAACAAGGGGACTTCAAAAAGCTCAGCTGGGCTTGGCAGTGAGAGCAGCTGAAAGACTCGAGGGTGGCCCTGGGCTCTGGGGAACACTTGAACCCGGGGCTGCCCGGTGCCTTGAGCCCCTCTGGGGGAAGGTGGCCGTGCCCCCTGCAGCTGTGGCTTGAGTCTCTCAAATCACAGGTAATTCAGCTTCCTCCTCTCTCCCCCTCTGCCTCCAACCAGTCTTCCAGCCAACATATGGAAACCCAGATTTTACATTGTGGGGTTGAAAGAGGACGGAGGAGAAAGGATGAGAGGTGCAGAGGACTCGAGGCGTTGACAAAGGGAGGCAATTTGGTACAGGCTCGACAGGAGGGAGAGTCCTGTGGGCAGACCAAGATGAAAGGGGCTGAGAGCAGACACTGGAGACTGCTTGGAAACCAAACAGCTGGTAGGGTGGATGCTGGGGATTTTGAAATGATAGTTGGGCTCAGAAGAGGGTTTGGGTGGGCAGGTATCTAACCAGCCTGTAAGTGAAGTCATGCTGCCCCAGTGCCGTGGAAATGACGTCTCTTGCTTTCTGCCACTACTTATAGAACTTCTCTGCCCACTCAGGCAATTGCTGCCAGCTCATGTCCCTGGCTGGGCCTTGAGTTGAGGAGTGACTTCCAATTTGCAGGCTTTAGGAGTGACTTAGTTCACAGGTTTTTATGTAGTAGGTCTGCTTCTGTCTGACTTCTGTTCAACAACAGGATTTAGTCATTAGGCCTTCTGGGTCTACCTAGGGTTGAAAGATTTCATGTCTGTTCTGCCAGTAGTTTGGTGGCTCTGCTAGACACGTGCCAGGCAGCAGCTGCCACGTGCTGTATGGTTGTGGGGGACTTCACACTATCCTGTGATTGTACTGTGGATATACAGGCTTGTACATGTTTCCTAAGGGCAGAGTCCTGGGGGAGAGGGTCAGCTAAGGCAGGAGGTAAACTCTTAAGGTGGGAAGAGCATCACAGGGCAGCACCAGTAGGAACGTAGGAAGACCAGTGTTTGGCCTGGTCTTAGCTGGTGTTGACCCCCAAGATAATCCAGACAGCTTTACCCACCTGCTAATGGCACTCTGTTAATGCATGTGGAAAATCTGATTGGCCAATGTTGCATTTTTTTACCCCAGATCCTTCCGTTTTTTACCAGCAACTGAAGGTGAATCTCTTGGACACTTTTCAGCCGTGGGGTTGAACTGCAGGTCCCAAAGTTGCATTGCTCTTATCTCTCTCCTCAGAGCAGAGCTGCTCATGTGGGCATAGCTGCTATAAAGGGCCCAGTTAAATGTGGAAGTGATTAAGGCTCTAAGATAGAAGTGTGCCAGCATCTGTGTTGCGTGCCACTGTTAATCCCCAGGGCCAGACAGGACATGAAGACCCAAGCCACAATACAGGAGATCAGCTTGGTTAAACAGATGCACACTCAGAAAGCAATAACATGCTTAAATACATGACATTTTTCAAAGTAAGCAATCTTCCAAGAATTAACCAATAGTGTTTTTACCCCCTCTTCAGTCAGACTCATAAAAAAGCACAGATTATCTGTTTAAATGTAAGTGCAGCAATTAAGTGTGTGAAATATTTCAACGCGTAAATCCCTTATTTTTCTGTTTTCTATTTCCCCAGGAACTGGCAAACTCTGTCTACTTGGTTATGGAGGTGAGTGTGTGCCTTCTTTTTCTGTTTTTACCCTTTTTTCCCCTCCCTCTTTTTTCATTTTTTTAAGCTGGTTTTGAGCAGACCCGGCGAGTTCACAAGTGGTTCTTCCTGCTGGCAGTCTCACCTGTGATGCTTTGCTAATCTAATCTGCAGCTGCAAGCCTTTGAGAGGCAGAGCTGTGTGGGTGCAGATAGCAGCAGAGGGATTTTTTCATATTGCTGCTGTCAGAAGGTCGTGCTGGCACAGGCTTGAGCAGTCAGACGTTTTACCTCAGGGGTCAGATGGGTGCTCCTGGGTGGCATCTGCTCCAAAGATACGTGGGGAGAGAATTTTCTCGACACAGCTTTACCTGCAAAGCTTGTGAATGTTTTCTGTCCTCTGCAGTTTTCACACTGAGGTCTTGTTGACTTTTCTTAATGATGTGGAACACTGATGTGAGGAATTCCAGCTGTGGCTGCTCCCAGGCTTTCCTCAGCCAGCTCGCTGGTGGTGTCTCCAGTGGTGACCCTTCTGCTTTGTTCTGGTTTTACCTTTCTCTCTGATGTGCACAAGAGCTGGTTAATGCTGGTGTATCATAATGCAGCATAACATTTGGGGGAAATGGGACAAGGGAGGAACCCACAGGAATGGGGTTTTCCCTGCCAACTTCCGAATATGTATTTTGACACGTGTTTAAATACTGTGATGAGCCTGCCATCCTAGTGAAGTTTACTGTTTTTCTTTTTAATCTTTGATTTGCCTTACGTTAACTGAGCTTTCTGTTCTGTTTGCAGTACTGTAATGGTGGTGACCTGGCTGACTACCTTCACAGTAAGTAGAACAGTATGGAGAATATCCTCTGCATTCAGAAGGAAATACTGACTGGTTTAGCTCATTCAGGTTTCTGGGGCTTGTACAAGATCTAAGTAAGCAGATTGTATATCCTTTTTCCTTTTTAAATTCCTGCAAAATAAAGAGTATCACTGCCCCTCTTCTGAGAGGTTCACCCTTGGTAATCATTTGAAAACTGAGAATCCATTGCAATAAAAACTGGTTTTATAGTCCTTTCTATGCAGGTCAGTAGTGACTGTTGTCAGTAGTTATGTATTTTAGTTACAATGACCTTACAGGTTAAACATATTTCAACACTGCTGGGGACAGGGTTTGTCTTTTCTTGGTCACTGGCAAAAAGCTGTTTATACTGGAGCCTTGCAGTTCTGTAGGGTCGGATTAAAATGAGATCCCAAGAGTATATTTCACATTCTTGAAGTTTACCCCTAAGGGTGTTCCCACATCTAGGGCAGAACACATTTTCTATTTCAGTGTATTGAGGGTGACTGTAGTGTAGCCACTAATGCTGTGGGGGTGACAAAAACTACTGACTTCAGGGTCTTGTGGAGACTACAGCACAGGTACCTGGGACTGTGGTGCCTTGAATAATTTTTGATGAGACTCAAGGGTGTCTCTGCCATCAAACCAAATGAAAAATGCTTTGCCAGCTCCATTGCTGGGACTCAGGCTGCAGTCTCCCAAGATATTTTTCAGTGGAGCACATGGCAAAGGTACAGGATCCTGGCCTTTGTTAAACGTGTTATCCTATTTATTTTAGGTACTCAGGTGCAAGGTAATTTTCTCAATGTACTTAGTGGCAGTCAGACACAGCCTTTTATTTTTTTTGTTGCCCTGACTGATTTTTTTTTTCCTTTAAAGTTGCTTTCTTGATGTTTTGCATGTTAACTAGAAGATTAAACTTGTCTCTTTACATTTAGTAATCTCATTTTATGTGTGGCTCTGGGTCATGGTTAAACAAAGTTTGTTCACATTGTTCAAATTAAAAGCTAGTCAGCTGGATAATACTTGAGGCTCCTTATTGAGCTGTGTGATGCCTGGAAATGGCAGAAATTGAAGGATTAAAAGCTAAATTTACATTTGCCCCACAGCTAGTGTTGGTATCCCTAGAATGATTATTTGGGGCTTGATGCTACCATGTTGCACTCTATTTATACAGGCTAATGAATTATGCTTGTGGACTTCAATTTTCAGAAAGAATTTATTACTTGAAGGGGGGGAAAAAAGGAATATTTTGCCTTTCCTGTGTTTCATTTGTTTAAAATGTGGGTGAGATAGAAGTAACAGGCATTTGGTTTTTAAAACATTTAGTATGCTTTGTCTTAGGTAAGTGATGGTGTTTTGCATCTGTTGGGTATTGCTGTGCTTTAAAAGGAGTGTCTTTGGTGGTGATGGTACACTTATGAACACTGAGGGTGCTTTTGTATTTGGTGCCTTCTTTTTCTCTTTGAATGCAAGTGCAAATTTTATTCATAAAATGCTTTTTAAATATAGTGAAACTTCAGCTTTACCAATGCATGGGCTTTGAAAGCCAGAGTTTTTAGCTTTCATGCCCACGAAATGAACCTTGCTGTTAAAGCACTGGGCTGTGCACTCTTCTTGGCAAAGCTGTGTGGGTAAGCAAGAACACAGCTTCTGGCCAAATGACTTACAGAAACAGGGATCTGTAGAAAATCTCTCTTTTCATACTGCTGTTTCTCTGTGTGCATTGTCATCTTCTCCCTTCAGCCAACCCCCATTGCCAAAAAAACCCCAAGAAAAAAGTGAAGCGTGCAGTTAGTTAGGCTGCTAATACAGCTCAATTCCTTCTTTATCAATTGAAATTACTTGGGAAGTTGGTGGTTAGTTTGAGAAAGTGATGGGGAATTTTATTTTCCAAATAAAATTCAGTTTTACCCCAGTTGGGTTTGTTTGAGTGTTGCCTGGGGTACGATTTGATCCTTCTCTGCCTGAGTTAAATTGAGAAAGTTAACCTTTAGCTCTGTTTTTACCAATAAAATACATTACCGTGACAACTCTAAAGAGCAGCTGTTGTGACTGAGAAACTGGTGCTTACTTTTATTTTAACTCTTAACATCTGTTTGCTTGCTGGTTGCCAGTGAAGAGAACCCAGCAGGCACTGATTTCCAGAGGGAGGAGTCAGTGAGGGACTGCAGTTAGTTACTTCCATCACTGCTGCAGAGATCTGGGTCTTCCAGATCCCAGAGCCTACATGTGAGTGTCAGCTTTCTCCATTCCACTGCACTCTCCTTTGGGGTATCTCCTCTTCCAGCTTCTGCAGGCACTCAGGGTGCTTTTGACAGGAGTGATTTTTTTACTGAATGCTCATCTTGGAAAGTTTAGATTTCTTCCAGGGTGTTTCAGTGCTACACACAGGAGGCTCATCCCTATGGAGCAGTTATTGTGCTGCTTCAGTTATTCTGATAATTGTGTGAGGGTGTTTAATTGCAGCATCTCCTTTCCACTGGCTCCTCAGACATTTGTGCTGGTAACACTTTAACCAAGCTGTGCATGCAAATCCCCTGTTCCTCATTGAATGAGCTGCTTGTAAGCTTCCAGATCCATTCTGCCCTCTAATTACAGGCATTAGGCAATATGGTAATTCCATGTTGAATCCAAAGGCACTGTAATTCTCCTTGTCTTCATAACTGGAGGACGTGCATATGTGCACGTTGCAGTGCTGTTGGCCAGACCCATCTCTTGGGTACAACCCAAGGTTGTGTCTCAGCACAGCTTCTCTGTTGGTGTTGTCCTTCACTGGTACAATGCAGTTTCCCTCCTGGGAGATCTCTGTGCACGTTGGTTTAACTTAAGCCCATCACGGGGATGTTTTGAGCTGAGAGTGGCAGGTCTCTGTGTGTGGTAGAGCTTTGGGGAGTGCTACAGAAGTGACCATCCTCTGTACAGGAATAACTGGAATTCTATGTCCTCAGGTACTTAGGAGGTCAGAGGAGGCTGGTCTAAAATTCCTTCTTAAATTCTGTGAGTTGGCATTGACACAGGCTGTTATGGGCACTTCACAGGAGAGTATTTTTGACCTTTCTCCAAGCTGTTTCTTTTGTATCAGAGCAGGATATTTCTTGGTTTGACCACAACAGATGCAGGGAGCTGTGATCCTTCTAGTCCATCCCAAGTGGGACCCTTTTGCAAACCAGAGGTGTGAAGCACTGCTGTGTAGCTTTTTTCCCCTCTGCAGCCAGGTAATTAAGAAATATCTATGACAGGACTTAGCCTATCTCCTGACTTGTACAGAAGAGTTCACAGGAGTCCTGCTGCCCATGCTGTGCATGGGTGGAACTCTGGGGTAGGTACAAGCCAGGCCCCAAATAAATCAGCTTCATCTCAGGCTTCAGTGTGATTTGGATTGGGCCCATGTCAGAGGTACTTGTGACACCTGTGGGTAACAGGAGATGTTCTTTTTCCTAAATAACTTTTCCAGAATGGTGTTGTAATGTAACATCAGTGGGTGTACTCTTGGATCAGCTGACAAGGGCTGTTTACTACAGTTTACTACAGTTTACCTGGCAGCCTCCTGCAGGTTGAACATCTCAGCACAGGCTGACCAGGGCACTTCTTAGGTCGCTTCATCCTTTTTCTGCGCCTCAAGAGCTCCAAGGCACAGAGGCCCCACACTGACCCAGAGTAAATATTTGCTGTGATCTACTGACCTGTGCAGCCGCTGTTCCCAAGGCAGAAGGCACAGTGCCTCCTCACTGAAGTGGAGCCCATGAAAATAAACACAGGGATATTATTGCTTCTCAGTCATGGCAAAGTAGGGCTTGTGAAACAGCTCTCTCTGCAAGAATGTGTTGCTCACCACAGACATCCCCAGGGATGCCCAGACTTTAGTGCAGGCTTAGTATTTGGTTTCCTGATGAAGATGAGAATATCCCCTTTTTACAGGGACAGAAGTGCAAGTTCCCTATTTGGGATGCAGCAAGGGAAGAGTTGTTTTGTTCTACACTGTTTATTTTTTTGATGGCACCAAAATTGATTGAGTTTTCTGTATCTTCTTCTACCCTCTGCTGTTGGTAGCTGGTCTGGGAGATCTTTCGCAGGCCTATATCCTGAAGTCTCTGAAAATGTCAGTTGTATTTATGTCTCTGTCCTTCAGCTGCAGATTGGTGCTGTCACACAGCAGACTGATGGGCTGAGTGTGGGAGATAAGGAGTTTTGTTTCCTGTGTTACAGCCTGTTTGTCAGTGGAGGGAGGTAAAAGGGTAGCCCCCCGCACTCCCCCAGGAGCTGACTGTCCCTCCTCTGTTCCTGGGGGCAGCACTTTAATTTCACAGTCCTGCCTTCCTACCTGGATTTGTGGGATTTAATGCTGGCAGAGGATCCAGACCTCTCTGTCTGATTTTGCTGCACTGCAACGTGGTAGCTGCTCTTTGCCACTGCAGTTGCGCTGGGGAATCTGTCTGCAGGCTCAAGACACCAGTTTAGATTCTGTGTGTGCCAGGAAAACAGTACTTTTGCAGGGCTGAGAGCTTTGTACAGAGTTCTGTGGAGCGGAAAAGCTTAATTTGTGCAGAAATTAATAGTTTAGAAGCCCTATTTTCTATGGGTGAGTGGATTTTTCTGATCTTGGTAGCAGTGTTGTTTTCAGTATTATGAAGAGTTAGAATCCACATTAGGGAGGCTCAGCTGGTTTGCTGAGGGCCGGTGGCTGGTTCTGTGTTAGGTTTATAGCCACCAAATTATATAAAGGGGAGGGTAACACCTCAAAGTCATGGCATGTTGTTGGGACTGCAGGTCAGGACAAGGCTCTCAACAGTTTCCCTGCTAGAGGCAGAGTGTGTTTAGCCAGGAGTTGGTAATTGCCTGTTGGCTTAATAATAAGAATTGCCAAGTTTCAAGCCTTGCTTCGTGTTTGGGAGATGAGACAGCCTGTCTGTTCCTGGGCCTGAGCTGAATTGGGCAAAAAAAAGATGGAATTCTTGCTGTTTTGTTTAAAGGTGGTGTTTTAACCGTTCCTGAATAGATTTCCTTGAATAGAAATCACAGAAATACTCCTGAGACCTTTTTAGAGAGAATACTGAGCACAGCTAAGAGATGTTGGACTTTTAATAGGCAGAAAATGGTATGGGACTGAGTACACTGAGATAAGTCAGCAGGAGGTTGGGGAAAGCCTTGTTGAAGATGAGGCAGCGCTTTTTTTCAGAAGATGCAAGTGGGTTTTGAAGACTTGCATCTGAGCTGCCTCTTAATATCCTTAAAATCCCTTCACAGAATCTCCCCTTGTTGCAGAGGAGTCTCATGAATTCCAGCTGAGTGCCAGTCCACGAGGAAAAAGGCCCAGCAAGGGGAGAGGAACTGTGTCCACGTGCACTGGTCTCACGTGTACGAGTCCAGGACCACCTGATAGCTCTGGTGACACTTTAGCTGTGTTTGTGCCTCCTCCCAGAACAGTGAGGTTTGGGAGTGGTGGGAGTTTATTTTCTATTCTAAGTGCTGTTTAACTTATCTGTGTCCCTTGCTGCTTCCCATGCACGTATTTTAAAAGTTAGATTTTTAATTTCCTGTGTTGTGTTAAAGCTGTGTGCAGCCTCAGCTGTGTTTTCATAAGGATTCCTCCCTTCTAGCTGACTGGGTAGAGTGGTGTTTTGAAGCTCCTGCCAGCCTGTTTTAATGTCTTTACTAGAGAACAGCTGGAAAAACACTAATGAAGTCCCAGCTAATTTACAGGGACCTTTTACAAAAGAAATTATTTTATTTAGGTGGAATGGTGCTTGCTTGAAGCCTGATTTGCGCAGTGACTGACAAGGAGGCAGGCTGGTAGCACTGTTGATCCTGGGGTTTGTTCAGCAGGCTGCTCCCAGCTTTGGCAAGAGTTTCATACATATAGTTCTTAAAATAACGAGAGCTGATGTTGCATTGCTCTGATTAGAAGAGTCAGTTGAACATTATTTTAATCTCCTTGATGTTTATTTTCACATCACAGTTCTTGGGAAGCCCATATCTTGGGAGAGGGCACTTCAGAGCTTCTATATTAGCTTTGGATTACTGTTATATTCTTTTTAAAAAATTTGCCTATGGAAGCATTCTGAGACATTTTTGCTGCGTTTATGGATGCAATGGAGGGTGTCAGATGAGGGTTTGAAGGGGTCACTTGGAAGGGTGTGTTGTTTAGGTGTTGGACCATGGTTCACCCAAACACTGGGTTTGGGATTAGAGTTCTGGTTTGGTCTACCAGGTTATGATGCGCAGGGTTAGGCCTAGACTTGGATTCATACCCAGAGTTACAGATCCTTGCTGGCCATGTGCTCTAACTGACTGAATTTAACCTACCAACCCCTTTCCAGGCCCAGCACAAGCCTTAATGACTTTTGCAGGCATAAATCCTAATCCTAATTACCTTTCCTCTTAGCTCTACCTTTAGACCTAGTCTTTGTGATAAAGCTCTGACCATAGCTCAGAGGCAGCCACAGCCCTGCCTACTGCTTGTCTGGATCTGACTGGCAGCTCTTGCTGAGGAAAGCCCTGAACCTCACCAAATGTCACTTTTGGCTGCAGTTAATAACCCAAATTCATCACCCAGTGCTGGCCTGAGTTCAGCATGAGAGACTTGGGGCTGAAAACAGCCCTGACCACAGAATAAGCTGGGAATGCAAACGCTCTCCCTTGTTGCCTGTAGGAATCATTCAGAAATGGTGTGTGGGGAAAAGACATCATACGTGGAAATAAAGATGACAAATTACAGCTAATTGCTGTGAGAATCTGCCCTCTGGGCTCCTCAGGGAACTGGCATTGTAAGTTTTTCATCTGTGGTCATTTTTTTTTTCCCCCTCCTTCCCAGCTATGCGGACACTTAGTGAAGACACCATCAGGCTCTTTCTCCAGCAGATAGCAGGTGCCATGAAAATGCTGCACAGCAAAGGCATCATCCATCGGGACTTGAAACCACAGAACATCCTCCTTTCCTACGCTGGAGGCAGGAAATCAAATCCCAACAACATCCGCATAAAGATCGGTGAGACCCCATTACAAATGTCACCCTGAGCATCCTCGGGAGGGTTTGGTGATGGATAAGTGGCAAGCCTCAATCTGTCTTTGGGGAGCTGTCTGGGAGGAGAAAAGGATTGCTACCCTTCTTTTAAAATTCCCTAACACTTTTCATCTTCCTCACTGAGTTCCTCTGCTGGATGTAGCCTTCAGCTGGCTCCAGGCAGAAGGAGCAAAAGCTTTCAGCTCAGCCAGGACACAGACTTAGCACAAAGGAGTTGGGGAGGCCCTGCTCTGCTCCCTCAGTGAAAACAAACACCAGCCTGCTCTAATTGGCTTGTAATCTCCAAGCTTACCAAGAAATAAGCAGAAGTGGTGACTTTTTTTCTTACTTTAATAGTATTGAGGTAAATGTGGGTGCCTGAAGGCCTGATAGTAGCTGCTCTCCTGGCTGGCCTCAGAGAGCACAGAGCAGGGTCAGGCACACCCAAAAGTGGGTGTTTTCACAAACTGAATTAGAGGCAGGTTTCTCAGCTGCATCTTGAAGAGATTCATGTTCTGCGCATCAGGCAAGTGGCAGAGATGGACCACTAGTAGTTGGGACCAATGCTCCAGAAATCCAGTTACAGAGCACACATATCCCCTGGGGTCTCTCAGAAAGGAGTGCTGGATGATACAACCCTCACACGTGAGCTTTTGGCTGTGTTACAGCTCCTGAGCTGAAGCTGAGACCAGTTAGGTACAACTGTTCCTCACCTGAACCCTGTGCTGTGGAGGAAGCGTTAATGCTTTCATTCACCTGAGAAATGAGGTCCAGTGGAAAAGTTTGAAATGTTGGTGCCTCTTTGACTGTTTTGTTTTGATTTTTTTTTTTTTTTTAATTTTTTGTGAAATGCAGAGTTGTTATCTGAGAGGTGGAAGGGACTGGGAGCTTCAAACACAGGCAGGAGCACTGCAGGCACAGCTGCTCTTGGGTGTGATGTACCCTGCAACCCTGAGGAGTACATGGTCCAGGGAATATCTAGCTGTACCAGTTCATTAGTGACAGATGACAGTGTCAGTCTCGTAGCTTGAAATATCTGGTAACCTTGAGAGAACCTCTAAGTATCATATGATCAGATGCTCAGTAACCTGCAGAGGTAATTTATCTTGGTATTCCTTATCCCTGGCTTTTCTGCTGTGGCTCAGCTTTCTGTCCTAGTGCTGGAGATGGCACTGTTGGAACCTTTCTAAAGAAAAAGAGGAAGACCCCTTTCAGCAGGGCTGGGCTAGGAAGTGTGGATGGTGGTGGGAAGTGGTTTGTCCTGGGTGTCTGTTACACTGAGCCTTTTGAATGGAGGGGAACTTTCAGTTCCCCAAATGGAAAGCTGAGGTAGCAGCAGATGAACTGGTTAGTTATGAACTGGCACACTCTCACTGGAGCCAAGAGAGCTCTCCCAGATGACAGTTCAAAGTGCAGTCACTAGAAGTGACTGTTTATCCCTGGAAAACAGATGGGAGTTTGTTCTTCTGGGCTTTTGTGGCTTGGTCTGTCCTTTTCTAGTGTCTGTACTGTGCATTAATAACTAGCACAAGGATGCTGGTGTTTAAGAAGAGAGCTATCAAAGTCTTGCTAAGGTGGGGTAGGTGCTGTGAAGATTGATGGGACGTGAAAGGAAAGCAGAAAGAATCAACTGGAGAAGGTGCAGCCTCTCTAGAACTGGTGTCTGACCCTGCCCTGTTTCTCTTTCTCTCTGTAGCTGACTTTGGGTTTGCCCGGTATCTGCAGAACAATATGATGGCAGCAACATTGTGTGGTTCACCCATGTACATGGTAAGTGTGGTTTGCCTACACGTTTTTCTGTGGTGTTCTTGCTTTGCTCCCCAAAAGCAAGGCTTTGTTTTTCTCTAGTCTTTCCCCCAAAGGTGAAATTTTATTTACTTGTCAGAAACCAGAAACCTGGGGGCTTCCTAAAGGTCTGGCAGACAATGGGTGCCTGTGCTGTCATGTAATTTTCAGATGAGCTTTGGGTAAATAAATGGACTATTGATTGTTGTCTGCTCCCAGAAGCTGCATCTCCCAGAGGTCACCTAGGCCTCTCCCCTGAAGGCATTGGGAAGTGCAATCTATTTCCTCTGCTATGAGCAAAGCAACAGCAGAAGAGTGAGGGCTGGGGAGATACTTCACATATCTGGCTATTTGAGGTGTTGCTTCCCCGCAGAGGAACCTCAGTAAATCCCTGCTTCAGCAGGTCCTTTTGAGACAGAGCAGTTCCAAAAACCTCCTGTCACCTCAGCCTTTGCAGTCAACTCTTTCACCAAACTAGTTGTTTCCAGGATGACTTCTTAGACTGTGAAACAAATGTGTATAAGAAACCAAACTGATCCCTTCACCCCCTCTGTACTTCCCACTCTGGGATCAGGTTGTGATGAGGTTATCTGTTATTTGTGCAAGGTCTCGGTGTCACACCAAGTCAGTGAAATTAAAAATGACAAAACTAGACAGAAATAAAAATGTCAGAGGTAGTCATGTAATAGTTCCTGTGGGTGTGGGTGTCTGAGCTCAAAGTAAAAACATGATGTGGGTCAACTTGGGTTGAAGTTTTTAGAGGTGCCCTGGGGCAGGAGGCACCTGATTTGAAACATGGTCTAATCCACTCTAAAAGTTTTTTGTCTGTAGTCTTTAGGCAGAGTTAGGCTGGACTGTGCTGTGCTGCACTGCACAGGGGTGGTGCATTTGGTAGTCTGTTCCACAGTACTAACTTAAGCAAAACAGACTTCCTCTCCCTTTTTTGAAGCCTGATGTTTATTTGAACTATGCTATATGTGAAGATGATGTAACTCTCTTCTCCTATGAGAGTTTCCTGAATTGTCTATTTTTAGTGGTACTTTTTCGGACTTGCTCGTGAAAGTAATTGAAAACACCCAGCTTATATTTTGAAAGGGCTGGAGGAAGCTAGTGATGATATTTTTCTGTTTATTTTTTATTTTTATTTTAAACAGCTCTGGGTGTATCAAGGAATCTCAATGTGTCATATTGTTCTGTGTTTACTGATGGATTTGAAGGAGGACGAGGGGAGGGAGGGTTTGACCGGGATTTAGGGAGTGTTTGAAGTCTGTCCCTGCTGCTATTGTAAATCTTGTGCAGGAGCCCTGGGAACATCTGCTGGCAATGCAGGCCCTGATTCCCTCCTTTGGGTCACAGCCTATTGCTGCTTGTTTCATTTTGCTGTTTTAAAAAAGAAAGGTATTTTACCCTCACCAGAATGAGCTTTCTGTGTGAATCCCAATATGATCCATGTCATGCAAGACTTGAAACTTCCTTGTGCAGTTCTTGTCCTGTGTCCTTGGCTTTGCTTGGTGCCATGCCTGCTTCCCTTAAGGACAAACCGAGCTCTTGTCCACAACTTGTTTGTTGCCATTATTTTTTTTTCCATTATATGTGGCCTTTACTTCTAACAGAGGTAGAAAATTGATCCTGTTCCATGCTGGCAGCACTGCAATGAAATCTCTAGTCATAAACACGTGGGATTAGCCAGCCTGCCCTTCTGTCCCCCTCTGCTGCTGCTCCTAAGGCACACTCCTCCTGAGCCGTGGGGCTTTGGGGGCTTGCACTGTCTCCAGCTTCTGGAACAAGCCTGGCAGGGAGCAGCTAAGTGCATGGGCTGAGATTAGAACCCAGAGTCTGAGGCACAGCAGGGCTCAAGCTGTTGGGCTGAAGCACAGAGGGGCTGCCTTTGAACCCAAACTGTGACCTCGGCAGCAGGCTCTGGAGCTTAATTAATGTGCTGCCATCTTGGGCTAAATGAGGAAAGTGCCCAAGTGAAGCAGCTCAGGATGGAGGCTGGAGCTTAACCTGTGAGCCTTGGCTGCTCCTGATCATTTACCTGTTCCTTGTCTGTGCCATTGCAATGAGGCTTCTTATGAGCACAGGTGGATTCAGCAGAAAATGCTGCACTGAAAAGGGAAAGTACTGAGTTTGCCCAAAATACCTGATACTTGAATATTTTTTTTAATTCCTGAATGAAAGTCTCTGCTTCCCCCACTTAGGGAATTGGCCCTTTCAAGATAGTGTTACTGTCTTATTGGGAGCAAATCTTTTGTGGTAATTGGGGGATCTAGCTCAAGAGTTTTTAAAGCATGATAGTGACTTCTCTTTGTTGGAGCTGCTAAAAAAAAAAGCTGCAACTTCTTATAAAAGTAATCTCTGTTCTCTCCCCAAAAAGGCACCAGAAGTCATTATGTCACAACACTACGATGCCAAAGCTGACCTCTGGAGTATAGGAACCATCATTTATCAGTGTCTAACAGGAAAGGCTCCTTTTCAGGTGAGTTGCTTAGATCTGATGTTTCTGACTGTTTCCTGATTTTTTTTTTAATCTCTTTTTTTCCCTTTAATCTGGTTACTCAAAGGCTCCTGTATGTCAGCTCCCCTAGATGCAGCCTCATGAAGGTCTGGCTGTCCAACACCTTGACAGTGTGGTGCTTTATATGTTGTAATGCTGGATGTGTTAACTAGAATATGATTCTTTTCTGGTCTATATCTCACTGAAATGTATTTCTCAGTTATGAATCCTTAGGAAGGGTCATTTATTGAGAAAATTACCATGAATCAGTTAAAGCAGTGGGTTTTTTTTCAGGCCTATTTACAACTGTGCTTAGTGTATAACTTATAATTCTGTTGTGTATGGAAGGACAATAAGGAAGATTGTAATTGCAGGTTAATGTTCAGGATGATTTGGTGGTAACTGGTGTATTGCAGCTGAATCAACTTGGTTTTCAAAGCAGTTAAGTAGAATCTTATCAGAAGGATCTTATCTGTCATCTCACAGCAGTCCCTTCCAGCCTGAAATGTTTATGTTCATCAGGTCCAAACCCCTCCTAATACAACACAGTCCTGTAAAACTCCACCCTGTACTTAAATGCCACAACTTCTGGATGAGCTGAAACGTATCTTTAGTGAACAGCATTCTCTGATTTTAAATTTTTGAATGGTGGAGAAATTCACCACGGCCTCATGCATGTGTCAGGATTACTTCACATATTTTTAATCATACATAGCTGGAGTTCCTCTATACTCAGTGTCTTTTTCTTGGTCCCAGTCATTAGTGTGCCACACTCTGTGTTCCTTTCCTTCTTCCATGCTGAATGAGATCTCCAGACTCTCCCCTGCAATTACTGTTTTAAAGTATTGTACTTGTCAGGTTTTTTTCCTTGCTGTCTTAAAGCATAGCAGAGATGCTTGAATTGCTGATACTTGTTTGCTTCTCTAATGTGTGAGCTCTGTAATCTCTAATCTGTGGAAAAAGATCTCATATTTGCATGCTGATATGTCAACTCCGTGCCTCTGGAGTGCTTCTTCATTTCCTGAGATCTTTAGGGCACGTGTGAACTGTGGCTCTCTCTTCACATGTCCTGACATCTCTTTATCCTGATTCCCCTAACAAAACAAAATGGAGAAAAAAACCCCCAAACAAACAAAACCCACCAAACCCCCAAAATTAATAAAAAGGAAAGAAAAACAAATAGCACCAAAAAAAAAAAAAGAAAAAAAAGGCAGTTGGGGACAAATCTACTCATTTAATAAAGCAAATTTTATGAAGTGCAGGATTTTCTGAGCTTCAGTTTCACAGCTCTTTGGGATTTCACACGAGACCTGGAATGTTTATGCAGTTACATCATCAGGGAGGATAAAATGAGTTCTGAATCTGTTGCAGGAAAGGGTGGGCAAATACAGGAGTAAACTAATGGTTTGTTTTGGTTTTGTCTAGAGCCAAGAACACTTTTCTCCCTCAGGGTAATTTTTTCCCTGCTGCTGTAAGAATCTTCCATCCCAGTGCTTTATATTTTGTCCACCAGCTTGGTCTGTGTTTAGAGCAAGGCTTCATTTTCTTTGCATGTTTCTTTTTTTATAAACACCCCAAAAAATGCACTGAAACTTCTGAATGGCTTCTGTTCATTGGTGTTGGTCTCTTTGTTTGAGAGGAGAAAATGACTGTTAGGACAACACACAAATATTTCCTTTCTTTTAAGAAAAAAATGTGGGGAAGGAGAAAGCAAGCTTTGACTGCTGCATAGGAGAGCCTGGCATTCATTCTCCCTTGTAACTTGGTGCTTTTTAGTCTCTAAAGGCACCTTGATACTGTGCTCATTCAAATTATTTAGTTACCATTTAATATGGTGACTTTATCATGGGTGTTCTTTGCTTAGTAGATTGCACACAACTGTGGAGCACCTGATTTCTGTGGAAAGAACAGGTGGCTTTTATCATTGGTCACTGAGGGATGTCACAGAAATGTTCTCCTGAAAACATTTTGTTCCTATAGAGCATATTTCCACAGGAAATAGAATTGAATATTAATCAGCTCCACTCAGCTCTCCAGCCAAGGTTTTGAAAGGGCAGATGGTCAGAAAACCATCAGTGTTCTGCCTGTAGGTGTGTGCTCAGGCTCACACAGGGGTGAGAACACTCCTGTGTGCCCACATCCCTCTGACTGAGCCATGGCAAACCCTGCCTTGGGCTGGGCAGGGAAGGGACACTTCAGTCCCTTCCCAGCAGCTCCTGACCCTTGCTTTGTGTTTGCCTCACTAAATAACCTCTCTTTCCCATATTCATCCAACATCTGTTGGGCTGGGAATGGGGGTCATTTTGTTCCTCTATTTTAATTTTTCCCCACGCCCTTTCCTCTTTTGGAGTTTGTATTTTGAAGCTCAATGCCAGACCCGTTTGTTACTGCGGGAGCAGCTGCAGATTTGTTTGATCAGGGAGAAAGAGGAGCTCAGCCCAGATGGTTCTCTGTGCCCCATCTATTTGTTTTGGCCATGTGTGTCACAAATTGCCTTCGAGCTGTGAGATCCAGGTGAAAGGAGCCTGTCCAGGGCAGATGCTGGGAAGCTGGTTAAAGGTTAACTGGCTTTCTGTCTTGGTTGGCATGACTGTGTTGTAAGAATTTGCTGATGGTCATTGATCGGGGAGAAACTGTTGTTTACAGGGCTTTTAGGGGAAAAGAGGGGTAGTGGACAGGGGTGATTGGGACACCATGAATAGCAGTGAGTGCTTTTGGGAGAGATGTCTCCAAATGGGTGGGGAGGGAACAGGCTGATTCCACACAGTGCCACCAGCAGACCCAGTTGTACAGGGAAGCCAGGAACTGGATTTCTGACGTTAACCTCTTCAGGCTAAATCCTCACCGTGCCTTCCCTCCCAGGCTGGCAAGAACAGCCCCTCATCCCTGTCTGGCTGAGATTCCCATGGGAATCTGGAGCATGAAACATGCTGCGTTTGGGTGCTCTGGCTGTTTTGCTGCACGAGCCAACCAGGCACCTCCAGGAGGCTGCAAGCCAAAGAGACTCCAGTGTTATCTGCAGGGAGGAGGAAGGAGCTGCCTAAAAATAAAATAGGGCTTTGGGGAGATGGGTTAGACGGAGAAAAGATCAAATGTGTGGAAAGGCTGAGGCAGCTGTCAATCCAGAAAGTGTCCTAAATCAAGGCAGAGATGTGTTTATGTGTGTCAATGTGATTTCTGGCTGTCTCAGAGTTAAAATTAACTATAGCTGGGTCACCCAAGGCAATTTCCCAGAGCCATTCCTGTCCCTTCCCTGCCTCACTGCACGCAGACGAGAAAGAAGCTGCTGATGCTCAGATGTGAACAGTTGGTGGGATGGCTGGTGAAGCTTTCTTAAGGAGCTTTTTGTATTAAACATGCCCATAAACAAAACAGTGAGACTGCCATAGGGATGAGATTAATGGGATTCATAATCCCTATAAACAGATTTGCTGAGCACTGTATTAATGTGGAATTGTTAATTTGCCTTGCCTAATAAGTGGTCTGCACTTACACCTCTGCATTTCTGTCACTGAGGACAGGACTTGAGCAGTGCCTTTCCTGGTCATGCTGACCAATACTGGGAAGTGCCTTGGGAGGGTAGTGGTTTCCACTTGTCCTTACCTGTGCCCACTGTGGGGTGGTGCAGACTGTGTAAACAAGTGACAACCAGAAGCAAAGCTTGGAGGCAGAGAAGGAAAAGATTTACACAAGGTCTGAAACAATCTAAAGCCAATCTAGTCCTTGTCAGATGGTGTTTTAAATATGATTAGTTAAATGACCTCAATCTCTCTTTTTTTGTGGGGGAGGAATCACAGTGATATTTCTGGTGGCTTCTGTTGTGTGACCCCTTTTAAAACTGGGCAGCTCTTGGTAAGGAGACTCACCACCAAGCACATGTACTTTGTGTCAGAGCTGTCTCTGGCAGTAGCATGGGTCCCCTTGGACATCAGATCATCCAAGGACCATAAAACCTGATTATCTGCTGTCTGAGCCTTTGCATGAATCTTCCAGCTCTTTATGGATATGGTGCCCTGTGGAGCCAGGGAGCAGGGAAGTGACATATGAAGCAATGCAAGTTTTTCTGCCTGGTCTGGCAGCTCTGAAAGAGTTAACCTGCCTGCTTATGTCCTTGTCCCAGCTAGCTGTTAGGTGAAAAATTAATTTCCAAGTCTGGTGTACCAAGTTCACTGCTTTAATTCTGGGTTAATTCTGTCTGGATAAGTACCAGGATTATGTGTCACTTATAGCAACTGCCATGTTGTGAAACGAGCCTTGAGGAAGACTAGGGAAGGGATGACTTTATACTTAGAATTTGTTAGGCAGGCTACTCTTTTGTTCCCAGATCTGTTCCTCTGGACTGTCCTGTGTCCATGGGGACAGGAATTCCTGGCAGTGGTAGGTTTATTCTGCTGAGACTGGGCACAGAGATTGACTTGCTGCTGTAGTCAGTGGCTTTTGGACCAGCGTTTGTGGGTCTCATCCTGCTCTGTTGGCAGCAGAGAGAGGGAAAACATCCACAGGCAGCCAAAGAAGAAGGTTCAGGGGTCAGGTTTTTTGTTTTCTTGTTTCTGGTCCTGGGGCTTTAAGGTCCCCCAAATGCAGCCACTTCGCTGTGGGAGTCTTAACAAGCAGAGGGTGTTTGCAGCAGGTTTTCAAGCTTTTCCCTGGAACTACTGAGCTAGAAACATCATTACTTGTTTATTTTTTTTCTTTCTAACATATCTGAATCCCCTTTCTGCACCTCCAGATCTCCAAGGAAAGGATTCAAGGGACAGAGCAGATACCACACACCTGCTATGAAGTGTTGACTAGACAGGGCTGTTCAGGGAAGGTGTGAATGTCTCTGGCCCTCCTCTGTCTGAGTGCTGGGCTTTTGCATCCAGCCTTTGCCCAAGCACAACAAATCCAGTGCTGAGTGCTTTTGGAAACACCCCCCTGCCTGCTTTTCACATGCAATTCACTTGCAGCCAGCACCGAGTGGGATTTGGCAGGGTTGTGCTGAATGCCTTTGTTGGCTCAACATATTTCCACTGCTGCTGGGGACAAACTAACAGACTGGCATGATTGAATTTGTCCAATTGTCTCTATATATAGAAAGGACAGACAAAAACAGGACCAGTTACACCAATGCAGCTGCTCCATAGTAACACGAGAGGGGGACTGAGGGTGTGAATTGACCTGCTGGTGTGTCTCCTGTTCTTGGGGAAAGCTGAGCTGTCAGTTCTGCATCCCTGGCTCTGACAGATGGATGCTGTCCTGCAGGTAGCAGCTGGCTCTGTGTACCTCGAATGATCTGGTTGTTACCTGCTTAAAATGTGCTTTTTCTGGTGTTTTTCTTGGGCAGGGTGTGTCTGCCTGGAAGGTAGGTTTCAAGTTAAGTCCTCAGCTCCCTAGAAGAAGGGATTCCAGTGGCATTTTTACTCTCTTACAAATAGTTGTGTATTTTTTCCATGATTCTCAGAGCAGCACTATTTATTGAAAGGAGAGGTGAGCAAAGTGTTTGAAGGTCCTAGTGCTTTAGAAATGCATGGTGACAGCAGGAGAGCAGTGGGCATGTTACTGTGAGCCTGGGAGCCCTCTGCCAGGAACAGAAGTGTGACTCATTTGATTAATAATAAAGTTATGTGAAGATGCAGTTGTTTTTACCAAATTAATGGTGATCCATGGTTATCTGTGCTAGGCACTCACTATAAAATGACTCTTCCCCCAGTATCTGTATTAGAGACCAGCTTATCATGGGCTCTAGGGAACAGCCCTAGTGAAGGAGAGTGTCTGGGTGTGCAGGAGCAACTGGGGATGGTGCTGAGACAAGCAGAATGTGGAGGAACAATAACCCTACAGGGATATCTCTTCAACTTGTACAAAGAGGGGGGGAACTTCATTGAGGATTTTGTTTCTGTCCAAGCCAGTGCATGGAAACCCTCTCTAATGAGCTGGGCTTCATATATGAGCTGCTTTTAATATGTTCTGTCTTTATTGCCAGGAAAATGTCTGACAAAACAGTGTTTGAAGTAGATCAGAGCCTCATTGTGTTTGTGAAACAATCGAGTTGTTGCGACAGGAAATGACCAGAGCACAGAGCCAAGGCTTGTGTCTCTCTGATGTGAATGAGCCCTTCCCTCCCTGTGCTGGAGTTCTGCTCCTCCTTGTACCTTCTGTCTGTCAGGCATATTTTTCATCACACAGAGCAGTGTGGCCAGGCCATTTGGTGCAGTGTGGGTTTGCCTCCTTAAAGTTGGCCAAAAATTACAGACCCAAGAATCTGCAAGGGGAAAGGTGTTAAAATGGAGTTTTCCTGAACCAAATCAAATCGAGTGGAAGCAATTGGAAGTTTTGGTGCAGTTTGGCACCTGTGTAACAAGGTGCTTTGCTAAAGAACATTCATTTTGATGGGTTGTGGAGAAAGTATTTTGGCACCTTCTGTTTGGGTCCTTGCTGTGTCTGTGAACGGCAGAGGGTGTGTTATTGCAGAAAAGACAACCAGGAAATCTTTATTTGCTTCCTTTAGGAATCCAATAGCACTTGTTGGTACAAATCAATAGGAGAGTTGTGAAGCTTTTGTTGGTAAAGCTGTGTAAAAAATACTGTCCTGATGAGTACTACACAAGTGTGTTGATATTAGCAGCTTTTGAGACTCTCCTTTGCTCTCTCTTGAGGTTTTTTTTACTGAGCTCTGTTATCCTCAATTTTCATCTTCAGCCAGAGGGAGTAGGTGATGTTGAAACAGCATCTTCTGTGACTGCTTTTCTAGCCATGCTCTGTTAGTGGTATTTTGATGGCCATCTGCAGATTGGCTTGTCTGATTTGCCATTTTAAGCATCTTAATTGACCTTAAATGCTTCTAATTTAGAAATAGAAGTAGGTGGAAGGCTCGAGGGTTTTTAGAGCCTGCCCTGAACATCAGGAGAAGCTGCCTGTTGCCTCCTCATTCACACTTTCCTACACACTCTGCTGCACCAATAATTGATTGCAGATGAATGTCTCTGATCTTCCTCCCCTCTTTATGTGTGCCTTCATGTCTGTGTCATGCCAGCCAGCCTGCTCTGCCTTAATAAAGAGACTCAGCCTAAGCAGAAGAGCTTGAGACAGTAGGGTTAATTTACTGGCCTGTATTATTCATTGCATGAAAACAAATGGAGAACTTGTGTTAGCAGATTTTTATGTGCCTGTGCCTCTCTACTGGTGATTTTATTTTTAACCTCAGCCATAAACCTCTTGTGCCAATCCCCCCCCCCCCTTTTTTTTTTTTAATCTCATCTCTCAGAATTTGGAATCTTGTCATCCAACATCCCACGCAGTTGTGTGTATATTACTGCACAAATAAAACAGGAGCTGTGGCTTGAGACCTTCTGGCTTCCTGGAATTAAAGTAGAAAATCCTAATTCAGTTGCTGTTTCTTCACAGATCCTCTTGCCCATCAACAGGCTCCCTGCCCCTCTTCTAAATGCCCTGCAGCATTAATCCATGTTCCCAGCAGGATCTGCCATTCACCATTTGGGGCTCCTCACGTATGCAATTATTTAGTCTTCTGGGGGAGGCTATTAGGCCAGCTCAAACCTGAGCATCAGAGCCCACTACAGTGAAGCTCAGCCCTTGGAAGGGGAGAGCAGGACAGAACCAGGTCAGGGACAAAATGGCAGCAGGCTAAAATACTGTATTTTCACTCTGGCACAGGGCTGGCTTTTCAATCTAAAGCAAGCTGCAGGTTCTCATTGTCTGTGCTGGTCCAGCAATTGAAAAGTGCCTCTCTGCTCTTCAGAGCTGCTGTGAAATAGAAATGTTAACCCCTTTCCTTCATTGTCAGCTGCTTCATGTACTGGTTTCTCTCTCCCATACAGGCCAGCAGCCCACAGGATCTCCGCCTCTTCTATGAGAAAAACAAGATGCTGATGCCCAAGTAAGCATTTTTCCACTGTTGCTGCTTGTAGACACTTGTTTACCCCGTGTTTACACCTGTCCTCACATGCTCCTGGCTTGTCACTCAGGGAGGTGACTAAAATATTTGGCCACCTGCCTTTCCCCATTCCTTATACCAGCAGTGATGTGGCCCAGAGAAAATCAGGCAGCAGTGGATAGCCAGAGTTGGTGTTCTCTCTCTCTCTCTCTGCAGACACTGCTGCTCCCCTACACTGCAAAAATTCAGGATTCTTAGTGATTCCAAGAGCCAGCTGGTGGTCCTGTTCCACACATGGCTTCCCTGAGGCTGAGAGCCTTGGGAATAGCTCCTGGCAGTTCTGGAAACCTGTGAGCAGCCAAAGTGCAGTCCCTCCTGTAACCTGCAATACCTGACTGCAGATCACATTCCCATTTCTCACGTGTCAGGGCAGCAACTGCTTGTGTCCATCCTGCTCTTAGGGGGGAAACACTATAACCTCCATGGAAATGGACACTGCTGCAGTTTCCAAGGGGAAGAGAACTGCTTTCATCCCAACAGGGTGTATGTTACCTCGCTGCTCAGTGCTGTGATTTGTCAGGGTATTTTGGTTTTGTTGCTGTGGTCTTTCCTTTTGATCTCTGAGCTCTTAAAGCAGAACCTCCTGCCTGCTCTGAAAACCTCAGCCAGGTACAGAGACAGTTCCAGATAAGTTCCAGATAAGATATCCAAAAACTGGAAGGCCTTTTTTTAAGCAGAAAGTTAGCTTTGAGTTGGCAGAGCTGCTAATGCAGCCACATATGCAGAAAGTTCAATGGATTGCTGTATATGGATTTTTCTTTTCCCTTATCAGTTCAGACAGCTCCAAGAGATAACTAGAAGGGACTGTCAAGAAGCTGGAGCTCTTATCAATGACTTGTGCTTTCCCTTTAAGTACTTCCTTTTTTGATTTGGGGAGAAGGCAGATTTCTACCAGCATTAACTCTGGGACATCTGCATATTCTGGGTTGAACTGGAGGGCTCGAGGGAGCAAAACACCCAAAGAGAACAACTTAAAGCAAAAATGCCACCACATAGTGGGAGCTGGATAGTCTGTGTGAGCAGAAAGCAGACCTTCTGTTTTTCCTAAACAGCCCAAAACATGGCTGCTCACCTTTGAGGCAGTCCCTCTTACTAAGAGAGAAATTAATCCCTACAACTAATCAGCTTCCTTGTGTGGATCCCGCTGCCCTGCTGTTGTTTGGCTCATGGTGCAGGCGAGGGGAGAAATGAAACTGGGCTGTAAGAGGAGAGCGTGTCTGTGCTTGTAGGGATTAGTCCTTCTCCTCTGAGTCCTTTGCACAGCCTGCATTCCCCATTTTCACTTATCTCCACTTTTGAACTACCAAACTCCTCCAAAATTTATATCCAAGCCCGCTGGTTTTTGTGCTGTGGACGTCAGTTCTGAAGTGGCCTTTGTGTAAATGGCAATTCCCAGCTTTCCAAAGTCAGTTTGTCTCTGACGTGAGCTGCAATCTGTGCTATTCCTGAGTAAACATGAATAAACTGCTTGAGAGCCCTGCCAGCACAGGATGAAACACAAAACTACTCCAGACACGACCTCCTCAGACTGCAGCAGTGCCAGGATTTGGTTTCATTTTCCTTGGGGCTCAGCAGGCTGGCACCCACCTCCCTGCCATGGCCATGGAAAGTGCTGTGTTTGGCTTGGGAATGGGGTGGGGAAGAAAAGCTCATTAAATGCTCCCCAGCAGTCCCTGCCTACCCAGCTGCTGCTGACAGGTGAGATGCTGTTCTGAGCATTCTGGGGAGCCCATGCCCAAAGGCCTCACAATTTTACCAGTGCTGATCTTAGTAGCTAACGTTCATCATGCTGGTTTGCATGGCAAAGTACATCCCAGATCATGGGGGAATAAGGCAGATTTGTTGCTTGTCTTTAAAAAGTTGGCCTTGGAAAATAATACTTGGAAAATAGAGTAGCAAAATTTGATGCTTCAGACTTGGGAGATAAGAGGAGACAGGCTGTTTGCATCAGCTTCATCTGTGTTGTGCCATCTTAAGCCCATGGCTTGACCTGCCTGTTTCTTGGCTTTGGAGCCATAGCAAGGCTAAAGCCATAGCTGGGAAATGGACTCATTTTGGGTGAGAGCTTTGTGTGTCATGGATAAATAAATGATGATGATAACACTGCAGGACTGCAGGTCTCCAGCACTAATGTATTTTTCAGGAGACTGCTCACTGTGGTACCTTGGGTTATTCCATTACACAGTGGGCTTCCAAGGGACACTTTCTTGATGAGAGGCTCAAACTGAGCCTGTCTACCTGCATCCCTTCCAGAGTCCTGCTGGCCCTCCTCCTGTGTTGACCTGAGAAGGCACACAAAACCATTCCAGCATCAGGGATGGAAGAGCAACTCCTCCAGTACGAAGAAGAATAAGGAATGCTTGCCATCATTCTCTGTTCCAGGAATCACTGTGTTCAAATTCCTGCCCCAGCAAGGCCTAGGGCTTCCTAGTAAAATAACTGGGTAGTACTGAAACCTATAAATACATACCTTGCCTCCCATCTCCTGTTTCATTGAACAGGAGTCTGGTAGTGCTAGCTAGCACCTTTTTTACCCCCCCCCTCCACTATTTTTGTGCCAGCTTCTGGTTTTACCCTGTCTGTGCCAGGGCAGATTGGTAGAGATGGTGTAGGAAGGGCTCTTTCTCCCAGCATCAGTGGGGCTTGGCTTCAGGATGGTGAGTGATGCCAGCCCAGCCAAGAGCAGCCCTGCCTGAGCCACGTGTGAGATACTGAGCAGCTAAAATTACAGTGCTGGGCACACACAGGCCATTACCTCAGCTGACCCCTGTGTGGGGAGAGGGAAAAGCTTGGCAGAGCGTGGGGCCATGCTGGGCACAGCCATGATAAACAGAGTCAATAGTGAGAGGAGCTGGAACCACCTACGCTGTAATTTGGAGAGCTCTGCCCCAGCCTGGCTACTACAGCCCCCAGCAGCACTTCTGGTGGTGGAGGGAAGTCAGCAGAGCTGAATCCACTTATGCAAGAGCTGAATTCCGCTTTCCCTGCCTTAATCTGGTCACTTATTCCCTGCATCTTGCAGTCTGCTGGGGTTGGGAAGAGCTGCCCTGGCCTCTCCTCCATCTGCTTGGGGGCACGGGAGAGCACAGTCATTTACCAGCTCTTTTGTACTGCAAAGGCCATGGAAAAGAGTGTTTTCTTCCTAACTGTGCTGAAAAGTGGGGTGATAGCTGCATGAATTTTAGCTTGCTTGGGTGGCAGTTGCTCACATCTTAGTGGCCTCCAATTAATAAATGCTGTATATCAAGGAAGCAAATAGACAAAGGTTGCTTGCCAGCCTTACATAAGCTGCACTGAAAAACAAATGGCTTAATAAAATGGTAGTAATTGGCGATACATTTCACCACCAGTGTCTTAATTGGAAGCTTCCCCTTGGAAACTGCTTCATTTTAGTGCCCTCCTTATTCCCACTAGCACAAGTGGAAGAGATTTTATTTATAATTTTATTTATCATGTGTGAAATACTGCCCGTTAATGGGCTTAGCTGAGAACCAGAGGGCTGACACTGGCACCACTGTGGAAGGGAAGGATCTGCAGGTGCTCATGGGAGAGGCCACTAAAGCAAGATTAGCTGCAGCCTGAACAGTGACAGGGGGGAGTGAAAGCCAGAGATGCAAATAGAGACATTTCAGTTCAGCCTCCCTCCAGTGAGCTCCTCGTGTTCCTGGCCCAGCAGGCACACGGAGTTTGCATTTGCCAGTTGCCTTCCTGAATATGTAAAAGCAGTTTAAGTAGACTGCAAGTCTCTCTTACTTTGCTTTTGTTTGCAATCCTAGCATCCCCAGGGAGACATCCAGCCACCTGAGGCAGCTCCTGCTGGGCCTTTTGCAGCGTAACCATAAGGACCGCATGGACTTTGGTAAGACCTCCTTCCAGTTTTAGTTCTGCTGCCCCTCTCTGTGTCTCCTGTGCTGTGGCACTGCACAAACATCTGTACTTCTGGCTTGGTGCCAGGAGAAGCATCCAGACACCTGGATCTCATGTGTGCCTTGAGGGTTGCACAGTCTTGGGGGTTTTAGTACATGTGCTGGAAAGGTCAGTGCTGATTTTGGTACAATTTTGCAAACCTGGAGATGTGGCACACCTTCAGCGTGTGTTTGTTACTTGTGTTCCCTTTCCTGGCTTCTGCTTTTATGATCTCTCTGAACTTTGATTGTGTTACTAGGTAAAACATATATCTTGAGCACCTCTGTTTTCTCTGGCGTAGCTCCTTCCCAAATCTGCAAGCTGCACCCACTTACTGAACAATTCAGTCAATACCCTCCATTTCTCAGGGTCTGCCATGATAATTTGAGCCTGGAGACCATAGCTGCTTGCAGACCCTTTCCTCCTTCTCCAGGTTTCTGTGGAAGGAAGCTGTGGTTCTTATGAGGGCTCAAGCTGGCAGTCTCTGGGCCTGTGTCTGTCTCCTGTCTTGGCTGACATGAAGATTTCATTCTTTTTTTTTTCTTAATTCCTTCTAAATTAAGAAGAGTCACTATGAGCCAGGTGGTTCTGACTTTGGCAGCATCTTACAGATGTGTTTTAGCTGAGCCAAAAGGTCTGAAGAACCTCCTAGTAAAGCCCTACCCTAGAGGAAAGCAGGCAGAGGTGGAGCCTTTCCTAGAGCCCCTGAAAGGACCAAGTTGTCTAAAGGCAAAGACATCCTGAGTGTTTTCAGGATGTTGCTGTTTAGTCAGACTTGGGGTGAAAGAGTTTGATATTTCTGTCTTTGGGGCATTGGTTTTCAGTTGCTTTTTTGTTGCTTATCTGCTCAAGTGGATTGCTTCCTGCTGGGCAGCATGTGCTGGCTGATGAAGAGAAATTGTTTTGCACCCTCTGTTATTCTTTTGGATTAGAGATGCCAGGAAAGCCTTTCTGGGGACAATCATCTGGGTGGATTAACAGAGGCTGATCATAATTATCCAGTGATGAATGTAAAGAACTGGTTACTGGGGTGCAGAAGTGAGAGAATGAGCCTTTTGAAAAGGGAGTTGTTGAAGCTCCTGACAGACTTGACTTGGATAGAAGCACCTTGCAGGATTATTCCCTGCAGACCTCTACCTCTTCTATCATGCTGCTGTGCATTTAAAAAGAAGGTGTCCTTGAGGTTCTTGACTCCCTGCTGTCAGAAATGGAGTCTGTCAAACCTTTTTAGACCCCCATAAGCTGTTTTTGTACCTCTTGGGAGTAGACTGTATGAGTCAGTGTCTAACACTTAGAAATTTGAGATAATAGATTTCGATATCACTTAAGACAACACTTTCAGCGCTGAGATTATTGGCTGCTGCAGGATCCTTTTCTCTATAAATTGTCACATCCTTGTAAAATATAATTGTTTTTAAGGGGTATGTGAGAAAATAATCTGTAGAGAAGCCTATATTTGAGATATTCCTTGTGCTTTATAGAAGGCAGATCTTGATGAGTGTGTGGCATCTCATGACACATTCTGATATCTCCTGTCAGCTGAGAGGAAAACAACTACCAGAACCATGATTTATTTAGACCAATCCACTTCCCCAGTACCCAGTTATACACTTGGTCCCATCCACCTCCAGATTATGCCCTTGCCAAGGTAGCAGCAATATGTAAATGAGAGCACTTCCCTGTGCCCAGTTAGTGTCACCTTTTCAGCTGCTGTGTGAGCCCAGCTGTGCACAAGCTGTTCGTGTCCCGTGGCTCTGGATCCCATCCAGATCTCCCCCTTCCCTTAGCTGGCTCCCAGTGCTTTGTCCTCCCACTGCCCAGCTCACCACTGGACATTCTCTTCACCTGCACTGTTTACAAAAGGCCTGCTTTGGCTGATGGTCAGTGCCTTTGTTCACTGCCCCTCTGCCCTCCAGCACCCTGTAAGGTGAATATTGAAGATTTGTGAGTGCTGCTGGGTCAGGCATGATTCCCTAGCTACTCTCCCCAGAGGGGGAGGTTTCCTGCTGCTCCTTTTTCCCTGAGGCCCTCTGGAATCTGCCTGGAGATGTGCCCAGTGCCCTCCACGGAGCTGCCCCAGAGTTTAGCTGAGTCACACAACAGCAACACGTAAGCTTGAAACTTCATTTGCTTGTTGTGTCTCTCAGCTGCTGTTCTACCAGGAACTGGTGGTCTTTGCAATCTCAAAGATTATCTAGAGGAAAACCAAGAGGGTTTCAAGTTGCAAGTTTCCTGCTGATGATTACAAGCTGGGTTATTTAAATTTTGCTTTGCAAGCACAGCTAATAAGCAGTTTGGAGCGGGGAGGGGGAAAAGTGAAAGAAATCATCATTTCCACCCCCTCAGTTGAGTCAGCTTGGCTGAGGGATGGTACACTCCTCTTAGAGGAGCAGGCTGAAGAAGAAGCAGGAAATTCCAGCAGCTGAGCAGCTCCTGCAGGATGGGGATGTTCTCCATCCACAGCAGATGTAATCTGTGAGATGCCAGCTTTCCCTGCCAGGGAGTTCCATCCCTTCTGTTGTGCTAAGCCTGCACTCAGGCTGCAGGACCCTGGCATGGTGGTGGTAGGGAGAGACAGGGATTGTTTTAAGATTAAAAAGCAGAAAAAAAACCCAGTTGCTACTTTCTGGAAAGCTCACTGGCCAAAGAAGAGCTGTTTACAGAAGGAGAAGTTTGTAAACCTTGGGTGTTGCAACAGGAAATCCATGCTGGGAAAAGAAGTTGAAGTGCCTGCAGTTAGCTCCATAATCAGTGTTGATCCGTGACTAACATTCCCAAAAGGCTGAGTTGCTGATTGTGATAGGAGAGGACTCTGGCACAGAGCTGCAGTGAATCAGAGATGAAGGAGTTGGGAGAAGAAGCTACTTGTGAGGACAGGCAAACATGTCCTCATGTCTCCAGCAAGCCAGGACAGAAGCTTTTCTTGGCCTGGATCTGTGGAATGTTCTCCCTTAATGAGGGGAGGAAGCAGCAGTTGTGTCTGGTGTGAAAGAGAGGGAGTTCTGGGCTGTGATCCTTTCTGCCCTCAGTGTGTGCAGGGTTTGGGTCTGTGTGTGATGGAAGATCACTCAGTGGAGGTCTTTTTGTCCATCATTCCTCTTCAGTGTAGTGAGTGGCAGTGCAGTGTGATAAATACACCCCCCCCTGGATCCCTGCAGTTGGGATGACTCACCATCCTGATCAGCCAGGGATCCAGATAATTTCCCATCCTTTTTATATGAATGGGCCCTGCATCCAGTCCCTACCCTGCAATTTTGACCCCTACTGTATACAGCTGCAGTCAGACAGCTTCCATGGTTGACTGGATTTCTTGGAAAAATCACTGTAAAACACCGTAACTTGCTATGCTTCGACTGCTTTGTAAACTCCTTGCAGTCATTTCCTTTCACTGAGTCAGTGTTCTTGATTTTTTTTCAGATGAGTTTTTCCATCACCCATTCTTGGACGCAAGTGCCTCTATGAAAAAATGTAAGTATTGCATTTTCAATTACAACTCTTTTTGAACCGTGGCCGGACTTCCTTTGCTGCTAGTTCAAAAGGAAAGAAAAACACTGCTTTATGTTTCCTTAGTTATTTAGGCAGGGATTCAGTGTTTGCTAGTGTGTCATGTCCAGATTTTACCATCAAAATGTATTTAATTTGACTGAGTTTATCTTCAAAGGGATGATTAGAGGGCTATTTAGAAACGTGAAGTAGAAGCAAATGTAGCTTTGAAATGTATTCAGCTGCTTTGTATGAAGTGCTTGGTCAGTGGGGTGCTTGTAGATAAACAGGATTATGTATCATGGTCTTGCTTTTCATCCTCATCTGTAGGACCATTCAGGATTGTGAATGGTGCAAACTGGCACTCTTGGCTGTGCTTGCCAGGTGCTACCTTAGGTTGGCTGTGCAAAATAACTTTGGTTACCAAACCATTTTTCATCTTTTACCTCGAGGTTCTTGATAAATCTTGTTGTAGAAGGGTTACCTTTGGATACTCTCTGAGAGCTGGTCAAAACAGAGTTCCATTGAAAGTTCTCTCTTCCCTCTTTTGATTCATAACTTTTGAACATATTTCCAGCCACATGTACTGTGGTCCAGAGGTTTGTTTTCATTGAAAGCAGTTCAGAATTCCTTCTGGTGTGGGGGGTATCGTAGTCCTCTGGCCAAGAGACCCTTGGCTTAGTGGAATTGTGTAGAGTTGTCTTCTTCTGGAAGGATCTTCCTGGGCCTTTAATCTCCTCAGTAAATGATAAAGGCAAGAATTTCCATCAGTGATTGACTTGGGGTGCCCAGTGCAAGGGCTGGAAGTTCTGGAGGAAACCTGTCCGACGCAAACACAGAGCCCCTCTTGGATGTGTGCCATGGGTGGACACCCCTTGTCTGATGTCCACGTCACTCCTGACAGTCTCTTGCTTTCCTGCTGCCAGAGCAGGACTTCTCAGTTGTTCCTGATCAGATTTTAACTGTGCACTCAGGTGACCTTCCTGCGGGCAAGAAAAGACGCTTCTGGTTTAGGGTCGCTTGGAAGGCAACCAAGGCCCTTTCTCCACCTGCACCAGCGAGATGTGGGGTCAGCCCTGCCCAACGGGGCTGCTCTGCCGGCAGGAGAGGACTCTGCCAGTGTGGGACTGCTCCTAAGCCAGCCCAGCTCTTGGCACCTGCTGCACTGCTGCTGGGTGGGAAAAGCCCTCGGAAGTCTGATCCCGCTGTGGGCAGAGGATCCCCCCCTCAGGATGTTCCTGCGTGCCCACCAACTCATCTCCTGCCTCCGGCCGTTCCGCTGCTTCGCTGGCCAGGGGAGCAGAAAACCCCCTGCAAAGGGGAGAGGGTTCTTCTGACTTGGCCCCAGTTCCCAGCTTGTGCCCGCTTGCTGTGCAGGAACCAGAGGTGCCATGCTGAGCAGGGCACTGCAGCTCAGCCTTTGCCCCCAGCTGCACCCAGGTTAACAGTGTGGGGTCAAGGGCCAATAAAAAAAGCCCCTTTACAGGCAGGTAGGGTCTCCAGACCTCTCTGTTGTCCTGCTGGTCCTCACCTCCGGACACACGTCCACAGCCTGGAGTTCTCTCCAGGCAGGAGAGACTGCTACTGGTTTTGAAAACATGGGGAGAAGTACCTCTGCATTGCTGGAGATGTTGGAGTTGTTGTGCACAGAAACCTGCTAGTGGAGGAGATAGTTCTGTAGTCTGCTGTGAGGTCTCTGCTGCTTCCAGATGGCAGTGATGGGTTAGAGCCTCTGGGAAGTGTGGTGAAGAGCCTGGATGAGAAAAGCTGCCTGTGGTCCTTTTGATTTCTGAATAGGTGAGAGAAGAGCCAGTGTGTCAGCAGAGGTCGGGGTTGTGGTGACCTCCATAAGAAAAGCTCACCTGAGATGTGTGGAATGCTGCTTAACATGGCAGCGTGCTTGACCCCTGCACAGTTGCAGCTGAAGTTGGTGTCCTGGCAAGGCTGCAGTTCTCAGGCGCTGCCTCCCTGGCTCTGCATGCTGAGCCAAGAGTCCCAAAGCTTTATTGTGCTGCTTCATCTCAACACGTGGCTCAGCATCACCAGTGTAGGAAGGATCAAAGAGGAGAAGAGATACAGCTGCATCTGAATGATGGTGGTCGTGCTCAGGCTGAATTAGAGTCCTCAGGCTTCCAGAGGAGAACTGGGGGAAGGAACAGTGTGCCTCATCTTTTTGTTCTCCTTGAGAGATCATAACTGGCCACCAGTGACTGCAGTGGAAGCAGGACTAACTCATCACATCCGAGTGTGCAGGTGTCTCTTAGGAGTGTTTGTTTGATGATCTGTACCAGGAGTAGTGACCACTCTGTGATGAACACTCTGAGACCTCAGCTGAGCTCAGGGACCCAAAGTGCAGCCTTTGCCCTTGCAGTTCAGAGGTGCCTGCACTGCACATGCAGGGAACCGTGTGTCCATCCAGGTCCCAAACCAGTTTTCAGGTGTGGCACCTCCTGTCCAAATGAGAACACTTTGCAGTATGAGCAGAGCGTGCTGGTCTCTGTAGCCTTACAGACACGTCTGCCCTCAGGTGACAAGGACAGGACAGGAGAGGTGCCACCAGCAACACGGTGATCAAAAATGAAGTGAGAGCCACGGGCTGTTCATTCTCTGTGGATCTCTGTTAGTACACATGGAATTGTAAAGAGTTTTTTTTAATATAACACAATTCTGGAAAATTTGGGAATCCTCAAATACGGGTCATTCTCCAGGTGGATAATTTTGAAGTTGCTCAGACAGGGGGATCCCCCTCGTTCAAATACGTTTGTGTATTTTGCAAGACACTCCAGCAAAATCAGCATTTCTTTCAAAAATCTTTCAATACATTTCTGACAAGCACACCCTCTTCACTGCTGTTTCAAGGGATGATTGTTCTTATGTCCCTCCTCTCATCTCCCTCCTCTAGTGGAGCAAGGACTTAAATCTGCTGCCACCCTGGGTGTACCTCAGAGCTCTGCTCACAACAGGCTTCAGCCTGCAGAGTGGATTCAGGGCCTTGGGCTTTGTTAACTAAGATGTATACTTTATTTTTTTGTTTGTTTATTTATAATTAATTTTGTATTGTGGGGTTTGTACCTGTGACTAAGCGTGTACTTTAGATGTGCAAAAATTTATTAATAAAGTCTTTAAAATACTGTGTCTAGTCAGAATGTCGTCTGTCTGTAGCCAGGTCTGATCAGCATATGGTATTGGGGCCGTGTGTTACAGTAATAATGCTTGAGAAGGCTTAATTAGACGCTTGTGCAAGTCCTCTCTCAGTAAACACATTGTAATTGGTACCCGTGCAGAATATTTTGGAGGTTTTTCTGCTCCTGCCTTTAATGAATGGTGAGCTGCTGCCTCCCTTACACTGAGTTAGGAGAGCATGAAAGGTGAGCTGCTCTGGTTCAGAAGTGCACGGGTGGTTCAGTGTCTGAAATACCTGTCTGGCTTAACTTGACTTTTACCATCTTTGTGATCTTATTGTACACAAAACAGGTGATAACCAGCAAAAAATCACCATGACTTCTGCACATAGAAGGTTTTAATGGTGCAGATTTTTAAACTCTCTGAAAAGCAAGTTATTTGCCAGGTCCTTTCAGAGTTTGCACTCAAGTTATTGCCTTGTCAGAGATTGCAATTAGAGAACTTCTTGGTGACTGGTTTTAATTGAATCCAGTTAATCAGAAAAGTGCATCTTTCCAGTGCGTGTGGAACTCAGATTCCAAATAAAGCTTTTCTATAAAGCTTGAGGGTCAGATATTTTTAGGATAATGGAGCCTCTGGTAGGATGACGTGTCAGAAGTGATTTTTTGCAAGTGTAGGATCCAATATTGAGATGTACACAGCTGGAGCACAGGCTTGCCTTTATGGCTCCCAGCTCTCCCATTTGGAAACCAGTTGGCACTGGTTACACAATGTGCAGGATGACTGTTTTGTTGCTGGAACGAGTTGGAGAGGACAATTATGAAAACAGACTTATTTACATTACAATTACAATCCGGCAATTTCTGGATTTGGGTGGGGGCCTACAATTCATGTTAACATTCCCTGCATTCAGACTCAACTGAAAACATGATGAGCCAAGTGTTTGCACCCTTTTTAATTTTAAACTGGGAGTGCCTGGGTGTGTGGAGGAGATGGAAGCAGGCGTCTTGCTTTCAAGCTGGCCTACATGGCTGACACTGAAAAAATGCCCCAGCAGGGCTGTGGAGGTCAGAGAGGGTTTGCCAGAGCCAAACCTCGTGGTTCTACATGCATCAAAGTCCATGTGGAGTGTCAGGGCCTTCAGAGTTGGAGCTCACAGCATTCCAGTGTGAATTTGGGGAGTTCAAAGGGATTTAAATAAGAACAGTGATTAACAGAGGCTGTATCTCAAGGAGTGCTTCATGCAGCTGAGTTTTGAGTTTTCAGATGATAGTGGCAAAGTCTGCCTGCGTGTCTTCCCTCCTGATTAATGAAAACCTGTCTGAAGCAAATAGACAAAAATAGAAAAGTCTCAATTCCAGCCAGGTTTAAATCAATAATCACAGAACCAAAATAGACTGGAGGGGACCTTGTGAGAGAACTGAAATGACTCTAACAAAACTACTCATTCCAGGAAAGACAAATGGTGATTCAAGTCTTGCAGCCAGCACGTGTGGGTACAGTTCAGAATTTGCTTATCTTTTCTTAAAAGCACCTTTCCATAAGAGGAAGGTCTGTCTGTACCTGGTTGAATTGTTCTTGTAATAGCTGGCAGGATAAAAAGGGAGGGATTTTTTCTCCCCTGTCAGATTTCTGGTATTAAATACATAGGGAAGGTTCTAGGGATTGCTCTGCAGGCTCTGTAGGAGGATTGTAGAGATCAAAAGCAGTGTGATTTAGGCAGGACAGAGCTCTCCATTTTACAAACAGGTTGTCAGACCTCTGTGTGTGTTCCCTGAGTGCAGGGAGTGGGAAGCAGCTGTGCTGGCTGTGGGCAGAGTGGCTGCCCACAGAGCCCCTGACTGACCTCCCAGAACACCCATCATCAGGGCACCACAGTCCCTGCTCCCTCACCAGAGCACAGACCATCAAGTGCACAAAATCTAGTCTAGAATGAATACAGAAGTTAAAAAGTAGCCTCTCTCAAAGCTTTGGGAAGATTTATTTCCTTGCAGATCTAACCCTCAAACTGCTGGCAGAGTGAGCAGTGCCAGTGTGGCCCATCACAGGAGGGTGTACCCTGCACACCAGCCCATCCCAGTCATCCCACTGGGGATTCCCACTGCACAGCCCCAGGACTCTGCTGCATCGGTCTCTATTGGCAATATAGCAACCTCTTCAGAAAAATAATCAGGTTTTGTTAATGTTTGGAAAGGCTGGAGATCACAGTGACCCTGGTTAAACCGTTACAGTGGTCAATTACTTATGTTAAAATATATATTTTAAGTCTATGCTGCTTTGGCTTCATTTTCTTGTTGTTGGATCTTGTCACATCTCTCTGACTGAGGAATTCAGTGTCTCAGTGATTGCTCTCTTTGTGCTCAGAGACTCTGGTCCAGTCATTCTTTAACCTTTGATAGGCTGCATGGAAAGACTTCCTAAAGCCTTTTATTAAAAGGCATATTTACCCATTCTTTTATCTTTAGAACACTGTTTCAACAGTTAATTGCAGAGAGATAGACTTTTATTTTTCTAGCATGTTGAATAGAGTAAGTACTTTGTAGAATCTAGTGGGATTAATGACAGAGGTAGTTTTACTTCAAACAGAAGCATTCTTCTTCCAGGTGTTATTAATCTCCCTTATAATAAGTATGGAGTCATTAGCACAGGTCCTGTAAAGGTAGAAATTTGAGACAAGGTGCTAATTCTCTGCAAGCATAATGGAAGAGCAGCAGAGTGTTCCTCTCCTCACTTTAGCATTGCCTCTGATCTCTATCTTAAGTCATTCAAATACCAAAATGGTTCCAGTGTAAAATCTGACTTCAGGCTGCCTTGAAGTGGGGATTTTGGGATCTTCTGTGCTGTTCAGTCTTGTGCGTGTGGACTGGAGAATTTGAACCACTAACTACTTCAAAGTCCTTTGAAGAGCCAGTGTTACCTTTGACTGTCTCCCTCCTTGGCTCTTCTAGGTTATTTACTGAAGCTCACTTGCATAAGTCATTGGAGTTAAATAAATGTTCTTTTCTCCTGTGATGCCTTGATCATATTTTCTGCCTGAAGGTCAATGCTAACTAGGCCTTTCAGAGTGAGCTTTAGGCCTCTGTGAGAGTTACAAAAGCCACTTTACAATGAAGGGAATCAACTGGGCAGTTCTGATATTGAACAAAAAAAACATAAGAGGAAGGGGTGCAGGAATGGCCTGTGCTGTGGAACAGTTTCTGTACAAAGAGGTAAATAACCAAAACATCTTCAACTTGAAGAAGTGACCAAGGGAGAACATGCTGAGCTGTAGGAAACTATGCACTATTTCCTTGAGGAAACCCCTTTTGGGTTTTTTTTCAGTAGCATGTGGCCTGGGATGCCCAAGTGGTCATTTGGGCAGCAAACACATGGGGCTTGAGTAGGCAGGTGTTTACCTGGCACACACCTCCCCACATCTGATGTGTGTGTGCTGAGCCTCGAGGTCTGATGAGGAACAAACTGTAAGGGTATGACTTCTGCCCCTGACATGAGTAACTCAGTCTGCTTTGCTGTTTTATCTTTCCCTTCATTTGCAAAGATGCTTTGAAGGATATTTATGGCAGAAACTACCTGGGCAGCACCTTGGTCAGGTGTCCTGTGACCTGTGAGATGGTGCACAGAGGGAGTGGAGGGATGTGAATCACGTAACTGAACAGAAGACTAATTCTATTTTGTTCTCCTTTAATTGACCACATCTGATACATGATGGTACATGAGATAAAACTGATGGGAAAAGATGAAAAAGACCTTTTATTATTGATTGATCTTAGTTTGACAACTTCTTTTGGTTTTGTCTTTTGCTGGTTTTAGCTGCTTCCGTGCCAATGCCTTCTTATCCCAGTTCAGGCTCCGGTAGTTCCTCCAGCAGCTCTTCCACTTCCCACCTGGCATCACCTCCTGTAAGTACAGCTCAGAGGATGCAATGCTTGTGTTAATGGTTCCCCTGCTTGTGTCTTTGAAATGAGGTCTCTGCTTTTGCTCTCTTCTGCTACAAGTCACTGAATACTTCAGTTCTGCCTGGGCTTAGTTTAGAGTTTGGATTGTGGAGGTTGGCTGTCTCTCCACAAGACATATTTCAATGTGCCATTGCCTATTATATGAAACACCTTTATGAAAGAAGCTGGTGTGAGTGACACGAGCTTGTCTTGGCGGAGATGGAAAGCTCTTTGGAACTGAAACCAGTTGCTAATTCAGGGTATTGCACTGATTTCTTGGCTGCAGGTTCTCTGTTTTCAAGCAAAGTCTCTGCAGCCTGACAGCACATCCACCTTCTTTGCAAAGTGACCCTCCTTCTTTCTGACCAGCATTCCCAGGCACCACAGAGAGACATTCAGCAAAGCTGTTTGCTCAGACCAGACCTGCCACAGTCCAGTGGTCTTGTGAGGGATGATCTGAACTGATGGTTTTTCTCTCTGTTTACATGAAATGGTGAAAACTTTTCTGGAGGGCAGAATGTGAACTGACCATTGAAATGACATTCCTCCAGCTCGTTGAACTGAAAGCTTGTTTTGGGAGGCTCTTGGTGAAAGCTGCCTTTGACTTTGAACTCAGGAATGCTGGTGGTGTGATGGGCAAGGGAAGGGAGAAGGATGGAATTTTTTCCTCCTTGGCATGACAGCTTTTTTACTTTGTTCTCTGAGTTTCCCTGGTGTGGGAAATGCTGAGAGGCACTAGCAGAAGGTGTTGTAGGTGCTCACAGTGTGGGCTGGACAGAGAGAACAGTTCTGCTCTCCTCTGAATGTTGCATAACCGTGTCCCCAGGAGCTTCTTCCTCCCTGCAGCAGCCCGGGGTAAAGGAGGGCTGAGCCCTCCTGACCATAAGACTCCAGAAATGAGCAGATGGTGTGAAAAGCAGACTGGCTCTCCTGAGCTTTCCTGGTCTGTGAGTACAGAGTCAGTGCCAGACTGGGAGGAGGTCCCACATTAGAGGTGCACTGCACCTCTCCTGCTCTGCCTTCTGCTGATGGAGGTGTCCTGGCTCAGCCTGGGAAAAATGCCACGTCTCCAGGGCAGAGCTCACAGATTGGGTGGAAAAGAGACAACTCTGACAGCTGGAAAATTCCTTCTGCCTGTGTGTACTGCATGTACAGTGAGAGGGAGTCCCCACTGGTACAGCAGGAGAGTCTTTGGAGGGTGAACAAGGTCTCAGTGGGGCCCAAGTGAAAGGTGATTCAAGTCTTTCTCAGCCCGGAAATACATGAGGATAAAGATTGTGATCTGCTCCGTGGGCAGTTCAGCAGCCTTAAAGCTTTTTTAAACCATCCAGCTTCCTCCATCTGTCTGCAGAACGAGAGGATTGTGGGGCTATTCGTCATTAGGCTGAAGGAAGCAGGAAAATGGGACGTTTTAGGGACCCTCCTGCCTCTGACGGCTGTGAGCTGTTCATCTACTGAAAGCTTAGTCTCCTTCAGGCCTTTCTTTAACTCTTTATCAGCACCACAGTGAAACAAGATGGTCTTGAAAGTGCAGGAACATTTATCTACATGTTACCAAGGGCTTCCTGCAAAAGCATGAGTACAGACCAGATGGTTAATGTTTAAGAACAAACCAAAAAACGTAACTCAAAATAACAACCCAGAGTGTCTCTGAGAGCTCCTCTCGGTTTCCCAGCCATACTGGAGGGAGTTGGTGGAAAATGCGTGGTTGATGCAGAAAGGGATGCAATACCTCAAGTGAATTTTTCGTATCTGTGGAGCATCAGACACGCTGGAAGTACGTTTTGTGGAACAAAAGATGCGCTGTTCTGACAGGGACATAAAAGGCTGTTCCTTTTCAGTAAATTAAACAGCTGCTTCTGGCAAACTATCAGCCCTGGTGTATCAGCAAAATGTTGTTTGTAGCCTTGTACAGCTCAGTTTAAAGGATGGAGCAGAATGATGAAGTAGCTGTGCTGAAGCCAGTGTTTGTTTTCTCCTTGAATTAGCAGTCCCTTGGAGAGATGCAGCAGCAGCTGCAGGAGAAGGCGCTGGCGTCTCCTACCCAGGATTCTCCTGGCTTTCTGCATGGATCTAAGGACTCTGCTGGGAGCAGCAGCAAGAATTCGTCCTGTGACACAGATGACTTCGTCATGGTCCCAGCACAGTTCTCAAGTAAGCTGGTTTCTGGAAATGCAGGTGTTCTGAGCAGAGTTTGAAAGAGCGATTAAACCTCTCTGTTTTGACTGACTAGCAGGAATGATTTTGTCCTCAAGCTGGAAGAGACATCTGGCTCGCTGGCTAGTTTCATAGGATATTTTGTAATTACCTTTAAAGACAGGATTTGAGAGTAAAGATTACTTGGGGGCCTCAGTAAGAGATTGAACCTGGAAATCCAACTGGAAAAGAAGATAAGTAGGCTCACAGGGAAATGCCTTTCACAGAAACCTTTCCCATGTCACCTTCTCTTCAGTCTCACTCAGCATCACAGTCCAAGGCAGGATTCCAGCCAGCAAGCTGGATTTCACACTTGAAAAAATCCCTGAAAAGACTAAAATATGTTGTTTTTTCCTTCAAACACTCTGATTTTCATTTGAGCACCTGTGTTTATACTTGGATAGGAATTCCTTGAAAATACGTATGTCCATATAAGCCAGGGCCTCAGTTTAGGCTACATACCTAAATATCCCCATGCATGAGTCCTTACCTAACAAGCAGAAGGACATTGTTCAACCTTGACCATGTGCATGATGCTTTGCTGAGTTGGAACGTGGTGATAAATGCTGTGATTCCTCCTTTCACAGTTGCACCACTTGTTTTAAAACAGGAATTTGGAGGGGTAGAACTGGAATCTCTGAAAGATCTCTGCTGTGCAGTCTTTACAATAAGGAAAAGCTCAGTGTTGCTTGTGTTTTCCCTGGGATCAGTGGTGGGACCAGTATACACTTGCCTTGTGCTAGTCATGTTCCCAGTGTTCTGATGTTTTGGCACAGGCACAAGCTTCCCTGTGTTGTGTATCCAGCTGCCAGCTCATTTGACTGCCCTGGATTTTTGCCATGAAGGACAGGGATGTTTCAGAGCCCTACATGCAGCATGTACCACTATCCTTTTGCACAGCAGCTAGTGGCTGGCACCAAGTGGGCATGTACCTAGTGCCCCAAATGATTCTGTCAGGTCTTGGCCCCCTTCCAAAAGGGCTTGCTTTCAGCCTGAATTTTCCCAAACTTCAGGGTGTAAGGATCAGCAGCATCGACCCATCAGCTTCAGCCCACGTGTGTTTTGCAAAACACTGACTTCAGAAACAACTCAGCAGGGATTGGAGGGGCAGGAAGTTCTACACAACATCTCAGTTGTTCTGAATGTATAAAGATTTTTAAGAAAATTATCTTGAATTAATCTGTTTTAGCACTTCCTTGTTCCTCAGGTGATTTAACTGCTGAGGCTGCAGGAGGGAAACCAATCCAGGACAGTCTGATGTACAGCGGGTAAGGCCACCAAGGCAACTGAAATTGTTCACGGGGTGTCTGGGGCTTCAAGGTTCTGGTTCCCAGGATCTAATAGCTGGGTTCTTTCTGTCTTCCTCAGGAGTTCTTTGGTGACTTCAGCAGGCTTGGAAAGCCAGGGAAGGACACCATCTCCGTCACCCCCATACAGCAGTTCCCCGAGCCCGTCCAGGTAGGAAAAACTGTTCACTGGTGACTGTGCAGCATTGAATAACTGAACACCCATTGACTTCCAGGAGGGGATTTTAGAGCTGTTGGTGTGCTGGGAAAGATCCACATCTCTCCTTTTAATTAAAGGTTAACAAGGAACACCCAGGAGAAACTCCCCAGCCTTGGGCACTGATAGTCCCAACTACAGAGCCTGTCTCTCCCTCTTGTGGCCCTCAGCAGGGGCTAGGAGAGAATGCAGGAGAGCTGGAATTAACTGTTCCCTGGAGGGGCAGGGATTATTCTCAAGCAGAAAGTAAATGCACTCCACCAGCATGTGTGAGCTACTCATCCCCCCAGTGGAGCATTCCAGCTAAGGACCCTTGTTTCTGAACTCGTGCAGTGAATTGGAGCACAGCACTTCATCCAAGCCTGAAAGTATGATGGACTTGAGTAACTGGGCAAGTGTGGAGGAGTGTTGCTCATCTCCCCTTGCTGCTGAAGGACAGATGTGGGCTTGCTTAGTTGTTTGGGGTTTGTTTGAAAAGCTCCTTGCACTGTCTCTCTATAAAGTAATGCTAGGTGGGCCTTGTTTACTAACGGAGGATGCAGGAGTAGGAGGAATGAGTGCAAACAGGCGTGGTCATGGGTTTAGTTCCAACTAAACCAGTTGCTCTAAACTCAGTTTTGGCCTTCAGAAATGTCTTGGTGACAGCTGCCCACACACAACAGGAGCAGCTGCCCAGCCCTGCCAGCAGGGCCAGAAACACTTTTGTGTTCCGAAGGTGTTAATGGTCTGTGGAAGGTGATCCCATTGACTCTAGGCCTGGAAGCCTTAGGGTATGTACTTAGCTTGCAGGGAACTGGTGGTGCTGCTTCCCATCTTGTTCTTGCCTGCCAGGGAAGCAGGACAACTTTCATCTTCTGTTCTGTCAATATGGCACCTGTCAGGGGAGGATGGTTGAAGGGGATTTTCACACCGGGAGATGGATGACCCTAAAGTATTTTTTAAGAAGAAAATACAGTCCCAGGCTGTGTGTTGAACACATTTGTCACATTAACCGAGCCCAGAAAATGACAAAACATAGCCTGAAAGCATACAAATTTAACAGAGAATAATATAGCTCAGAGGCTCGCTGACGTGATCAGATTAATTGGCAAGCGCGTACCACAGTGTGGAGTTTAATTGCATGAGGCTTCTTATGCCATTGCCTGCTAAGCTTTTTAACAGCTTATTCCTTAACTGATTCCTTTGCATTCTGGAGATCAGTCTTTATTAAAGGATTTGGTCTTGCTTCTGGACAGCAGTGAGTGGAAATTCATGGAAGTTGACTACAAATGCTGCCTACTTCTCACTGGTCACCAAAGTGGCCCCATCGTCCTCCACTGGATCACAAGGTGGCAAATCAATGCCAGTGGCTTTGATCTAAACATGTTGCTGCTCTCACTGTCTTTTCTACTCATTTCCAGCAGCTTCTGTGGAGCAGATGCCAGACCCTGTAGTGCTACTTCCCACTTTTCTATCTGCTTTGAAGAAACACCGTTTCTTCCTACCCTGTCCAGGATGGGGAATAAGATATCAGTAATGAGAGATTGGAGCAGTCACTCCTAATCCAGAGGATAAACCATGGCCTTTGACCTGTCCCCTGAAAGTGCTTGGAACTGGCGCCACCCGGGTGTGCCCTCCCTGGGTTTCAGTGCCCTTCCCTGTATAGATGCCATAAGACCTCTTGGTTCAGCACTTGGCTCCACTGGCACAGAGGACTCCTGGTTTTCCCTCTGTCTTTGCTCACTCAGAAGCAGCAGTTCTCCCTTGTGTGTGGCTCCAGGCTAGCAAGCAATGCTGGCTGCAGTCCAAGTGGGACAGAAAGCAAAGGCTGTTTCAGAGTGGCCAGCAGTGGGTTTTCCTCAGGATGTCATGGTACACTCTAGGACAACTCTCCTTGCTCTTAACTAAGGACTAGGCAGAATTAAAATATGCTGATAGTTGATTTTTTTTTAATTCTTTTTTTAAACACTTCCTTGAAGATAATTATTAAGTCTAATGAAAGGTAATTCATTGGATGTACCCCACAGCAATGGATTTAATGCTGTTTTGAAAGAGCTTTTTTTATTGCCAAGTAATTAAACTCCTCGTCCCAGCTTTATCTCTTGGACTTTGCAAGTTTATGGTCAGTTGCATTCTTTAAGGCTTGAGGCTAGTTGGTAGGTTTAGTGTATATCACTTCATTTGGGTCATTTCCTTTGCAACTTGTACCTTGTGAAGAAAATGAGGGCTTGATATAACTCTTGGGGGAAGGATCCTTTCACCCAAGAGCTTCTTTTCCTCTAAAGGATTTTGACCAGATGGAAAAGAGAGTGTTTGAAATGTATGTTCAAAGTCAGGGTATGTACGAGGTTTGACGTGAACCCTCAGATTTCTTGGTTAAAGCTCTGTTTGCTTTTTGTCTGCCATGACACCACGTCTCACACTGATGGAAGACAGAGACACCACCACAGCCTCACCTTTCTGCTGAGCAATTGGAAACCCTGAATGCCTTTGTTTTATTGTGTGTCAATGAAAAATCAAGGCTGTTTATAGGGCCCAAAGGAGTGATGCTTCCAGCTTCACAGGGGCAGACCCAGGCGTGTGTCCTCGACTGACAGCAAGGGAGGCTGCAGAAGCCTTCACTACCAATAACATCTTTCTGTAATTGTTCAACATCCCCCCAATTGGTGTTGGCAGTTGTAAATAGCATTGCCATGGCAATTAATCCTAGAATTCTGGGGCCTTTGGAAGAAGACTTTAGGCGGCTGCTTAGTTAAATGTGGTGTTTGCATGAGTTTTGTACAGCAGGGTCCGTGTGTAGCCTGGTGTACAGGCAAAGAGTAATGGGGGAAACCATCACCTGGGGGAACAGGTATCAGATGGGAGCTGTTTCACCTGCTTGGAGGGACCTGGGAGGAAGCCTGAAGTTTGCAGAATGGGCCTGTCCTGTTTTTATGTGTGATATTCTGTCTGACCGTGATGGGTACATGGATACCCGCTCCTGTCCCTGCAATTTATTTTCTCCTGAGTTGCCTTCTCCTCCCCGTAGTTAACTTGCAAATACTCTGATTTACACCACTGCATTCTCTTCGTGCTGTGAGACATCTGCAGTGGCTGCAGTGGTGCCTCTGCATGAATCAATCACAAGTAGCTCCTGTCAGCAGCATCTGTGCTGGTGTCCTTGTGAGCCATGGATGTTCAGCCCCTGTTCAGTGCTGTGCTCCTCGGCTCTGGATCTGAGCTGTTGGAAACTAGGCCAGTCATGGCCTGAAATAGCAGGGCTCCGGTTTTCCTGGAGGGAGTGGTGTGCCTGGGTGTATGTTTTAACCCAGTGTGTGGGTGGGAATCGTGCTGGGAGAGAGGTGCCTGTTTTTAGGAGGTGTGTGGTGCCACTTCCCTTTGATAGGACTTTGAATCACCTCCCGGCACAAACCCACAGCCCGAGCGCAGCCCAGGGGACGCTCCCTTTGTACAGCTGCTGTATGAAGATAAAATCTCCAATTACCTGGTGGGAGGCCCAGCCCTTACAGAAGTTTTTCTTTGTGTGTCTCCTTCCAACAGCCGGCCAGGTCAGTTTTCCAGCAGCAAGTACGGACACTCCGTGCCCATTCCGGTCCCGACGCAAATCCACAACTACCGTCGGATCGAGCAGAACCTGCAGTCTCCCAACCCATACAGCTCTCCCAGGTAAGTGCTGGGGCTGCCAGGAGGGGTGGCATCAGTGCAGGGGCTCTTGCATTACAGCTTGGGGTCTGTAAACAAACTGCTTTACAGTCTGCTCTCTGTACCTCTATGGATTTCCCTCCCTGGTGGGCTCTTCCCCTTGCTGTAAGGAGCCAGTGTGATGTGTTTTGGGGTATTTCTGTAGCAGTGTTGGGATTTATTTCTTACCATGTACTGTTGATTTTGTCTGTGTGCTTGTATGTGAGAAAGCTCCTGTCAACTTTGAGTGAAGGCTGAGCCCCTTTGAGCCTGACAGCTTTTCCCATGCCACCCGTGGATTGGGTGTCCAAGCAGAGAGAACCATCCATCTGGCAGGTGCCTTTATAAAAGGAAAATTTGAGATAAACAACTAAAATGGATGGGGCTACAAAACCTAGCTGACTGTACCTTAATTGGTTCCTGTAGCCAGTCATGCCATAGGTGATGTGTTGCATATTAACGTGGTTGTGCAGCCAGGACTGACTAAGTCAGGAGCAATTTGTGCCCGTGAGGCAGAGCATGTTTTCTGAAGGCCGTCAGGAGGACCCAGATGCCAGCCTTCAGCACACAGCTGACCTGCTGAGTTCAGTGCTAATGACATGTAGGGCTTCTGTCTCTTCTCACATATGATTTCTGGTTCTTACAGGTTTGAAATCTGGGCTGGCAGCAGCAGCCCAGGTTGTAGGATGGTTGGAAGGAGGCCCATAGAGGGTCTTAAGGAACTTGTACAGCAGGGGCGTTCCAAAAGAAGTGTCTAGGAGGTGTCATGTCTTTTCTGGGATGAGTTGCGTTGGTATCTGGATTAATTAAAGTTTAGATTTCAGAAGTAGGGTAATACCTGCATCAGCCTAAGTTTGGGCTTCAGCCAGCCTAATTCAGGATAAGGCTTATTCAAAGTGGACCCAGAAGTAGAGACACAATATGCTGATATTAATCAGGGATCAGCAGAGGGATTGGTTTGTGCCAGTGTTACTTTAATTCTATTTTATATTCACTTCTTTGAGTGTGGCAGGTTTTGTGGTAAACTCCTTCCTGTTTCCTTAGTGCCTTGTGTTTTTTACAGCAGAACTTGTGGACTCTGTTGGTGTTGGAACTCACAAGAGTCCTGTTATCCCTGTGAGGTATAAAGTGATAGCTCTGGAGAAGGTGCTGTGCCGACCCCAGACCTGGTGATGAGCTGCTGAGCTCAGGTTCACAGCCTGCAGCCACAGTCAGGGATCAAACTGCCATGTTTTGCTCCTTTTAGTCACCACTGTGTAATGTTGAGATTAGCATCATCCCTGCAGAGGAACTCGAGGAATGGACCCAATCAGGGTGACTCACAACCTGCTTTTAGCATCTTCTCAAAATCTCTGGCGTCATGTCTTTTCTGCCCCAGGATGCCATATTTATCTCTCTCCATCACTTCCTCTAATCAACAGATTGAGTAGACACCCTTCAGGAATGGCAGGAGAAAACTTCATCAGGCATCTAGTATGTGATTCCACTTTTCCACCAGGTGTATCAAACAGGCCATTACCGCCAAGTGCCTCGTCATGTTTGCCCAGTCATTTGCTTGCAAAGCAAACCTTGACGTGCTGCTCTCGTGTCCCACTGTCACCTGACTGGCTGGAGTGTGCCTGTGTAAGGTGGCACGTTTGTGGACAGATATGTGGCTTGTTGAGGTGCTAATTATGCACACCTACTTCTGGCCACATCACCTGTCCTGCTCGTCTGCTTGCTTGCTTATCCTGTGTCTCCTAGGGTGGCATTTGACATTCCACATCTTTCAGCAGCAGCAGTCAGCTGGTGGTTTTTTCTGCAAGTTCCTGATAGGTAATATTGAGGTTTCTGCATGGCTCATGTTCTGGAGAGTTAAAAACATGGGAGGGCAATACTTTCTGCCACTGAATATCTCGGTATCTTCTCGCCTTTCCTTTTTGTGTATTCGTTTTGCTTCAGGGCCAGGCACTTGATGAGCATTAGGCCTCTGAATGTGGAGCAACCTGAAGAGGAGTGATTTTTAGGTTAAAATTTTAAAGTATTTCCTTTTTTTTTCCAAGCATGTGACTATAGCATGGATTCACCTGGCTGCAAAATGTGGTAACACATTGAATAGAGGCAGGGGGGTTGGCAGATCAAATTCTTATATATCAACTACTGAAATAGATTTATTTTTTTTAATATATAATTTATTTATTTTCTGAAATGTGGCATAAAGTGAAATATACACCTAGGAGTGTTGTTGAGTAGTTGTACTGACAGTTCATCAGGATGACTCTGCCATTCCTGGGTAGTGTAGCCCTACTGGCACTGCTGAAACCCATATGCCTTTGTTCCTCTGCTCAGGTACCTATGGACAGCTAAATGCAGCATCCCTGGGAGAGGAGGCAGGATACTTTGGGGATAGCATCTTGCAGTGGCTCGAGCACAGAGGGTTTTTTTCAGCATATTCATTGATTCCCGGCCAGAAAACCACCTACTGGCTGAGACTAATGTTCTTTTAACAAGAGGAAAAAATGTTTCCAAATTGAGAGTAGAATGAAGGATTTGATGAAAAGACTGTGTTCTCATATAGAGGAGCATAATGGGAATCTTGGTGAAGGAGCCTGCAGAGGCAGAATGGCATTTCAGTTTAGGTTGTGTGTTCTAGTGATCATGCAAACATTAACATATTGAGAAATAATGAATTAATATGCAATAATCCCATGTCTCTCCAGACTGATGGTGTGGCTGTACTCACTTTCCCACTAGTTTCCTCTTCTCTTTCATTTTAGCAGCTGAGTAATACTCAAGGATCCTGCATGTGTGGGCTGTACAAATTAATTTTAACTCCCTAAGGTGAGGCTTCACTAGGAGTTGAAGGCATTTGGAGTCCAGGCAATTCTGACTGTCCAACCCAAAAAACCGATTCCTCTGGGTGGTTCTGAAGTGGTTCAGATCTGACAGCCACACACTGCTCTGTTTTGCTCTGTAGCTTCTGGTTTGAGTCCAAGCTCTGTTGCAGAGCAGGGCCTTGGCACAGCTCACCTTGGCATCGTGCTGCTCACAGAGCTTCCTGCCTGAAGGCTGCTCTGACTGAAGGGTGAGTGGCTCAGCACAGGAGGGGCACTTAAATAAAGCCCTCTCACAGTGTTCTGAAGACACTGCCTAAAATTAATGTCTTGGACGTGGCAAGATAGGAAACTGTCCTGTTCAGGATCATTGTAAATACCTGAAAGCATCTAAAAGTGACTTTGAAAAATGACTCCTCTCCTGCTTACAGCTAAGCTAACCTCATTCCTCCTCTTCATTTATTTGGATTGAAATTCTCGAGAGCAAAGATTAGCAGCTTAATCTGTATTGGTGTAGTCCTGGAACAGTGGGATTTTGATCCAGGCTAAACAGTGATGTAGCTCTGCTTTTGTGGAAGTAGCTGTGTGTGTTTGGTGATGCTGTTCTCCTTTCCCTGCTGTACTGGCATCTGGAGTAACGTGTGTGCTGCCCTTGCTCCCTGTAAGGTCTGGTACAGTCCGGAGGTCCAGCAGTACGAGTCCTCTCGGTTTTCCCAAGACTGGTGCTTCCCCTCCTTACCCTGGAGAGCATGGATCTGTGCCCAGCTCTAAAAAGCTCTCCTTTGGCGGTGCCAAGCCCTTCATGCCATCACCACAAGGTAAGGTATCAATGGGCACATTGCTGTCCTGATAAAATCACGTGCCTCTTTCCTGCAAAGAGGGGGGTTTTTAACCAGATGTAGCTGCCAGGTAATAGGGGGTTCAGATTGGTGTGTTCTCCTGTGGTTCTTCTCAACAGATTATTTGGCAAGTGTCTTGGCCTCAGTAAAGTGGAAAGAAAAATACCTGTTAGCCCCAGGAGAGGCAAGCTTTGCTTTGGTGCCTGCATCAAGCATTTTGCTGCCCTCAGAAGAGGGCTTCTGTAAGTGCAAAGTATCTTTTTACTGGCTTGGGTTGGGGTGAGAGAAAATGTCAGCCAATTATTGTCAAAGCAAAATTCTGGCCAGCGCTGGAAGGGCTTGAACTTCACTGTCCAGGCTGAAAAGTTTTGACTGACTATCTGGTAGCCTGATCCAGATGCTAACAAGCAATTCAAGTGGAAAGGGATAAGAAAAACCCCAGTGTGCTACTGATGCAATTTGCTAGTTTTTGTAACAGAACAGACTGATATAACAAGCTATTCTGTATTACTAGTGTCTCCAATCCTGTATTTATTAGGCTCTGCTGGTGGGGAAAAGCAGAATATTCACATGCTTTTCCTCTGAATTAATAACACTGCAAAACCAATACTAGGCAGAGGGTTTCTTCCTCCTTTTACAGGAGTTGAGGATCTTTTCACTACACAGCTAGGGCTGAGAAGATGGAAGAGATAACAGGCATCTTTCTTTAAACAGGTGGTGTGCATAGTGCTGTTCTTGCCTATGGAAACTTAATACTGATTGAACTTTTTTTTATTGTGTTCACTCACAGTTGGAACAATCCCAGAGCAGCCCAGCCAGACTGTTATCCCATCTTCTCTTGGAGCAGAAGTGAGAAGCCGCGTTCCTGTTGCTGGTGCGTTGGTCCTTACCTTCCTTTGTTACTCCAGTGGATAAGAACTGTAGTCTCAGGGCATTCAAGGCTGGGTGTGTTGCTTCAGCAGCTTCTCTAGATGCTTGGCCAGCCAGGATTTCTATGTGCTGGGAGGAGCTGGGGTTGATCCATTCACATTCTGTCAGCCAGCATCTTCCAATGCTGACAGACCCTGTGTCGCAAAAACTCAGACGTGGGACTTGGAAGTCAATGGATCGAATGAAGGAAAAGCATCTCAAAACCCCCAACCCCCCCAATGCCAAGGGGCCTGCTTGATGTGTAGTTTCCTTGCTGCTGAGCTCTAACAGGTCCCTGTCCCTGTAAGGGTGGCAATGAAGGAAAGAAGCTGCACTTTTATTTCCCTGATGTCCATATCTCATCCTCCTGTAGACTCAAAACCTTATCAGGCCTGGCAGTGCTGTGGCACTGCTCAGTGCCATCCTTAGCCATCCACTGAAGGTTTTGATCTCCAGATGTCTGAGCCATGGATGCTGGGATCAGGCTGGCTTTGTGTGTTAGAACCAGACACTGATGTGTTTTGTCACTCTGGGCCCTCCAGGTTCCTCGGCGCCTGAACAATCTCCTCGAGGGATGGGCTCCCGGCTCCACAGTGCTCCCAACCTGTCGGATTTGCATTCCTGCAGGCAGAAGATAACCAAGCAGCACTCTGATCCTCTTGTTGCTCACTTTGGTCATACCCCAGTCAGCCAGCCTCTGCAGATTCATGGCTTGCAGCACTGCCGGCAGCTCCGATCCTCACCGAAGCTCTCCGAGTTCATGCAGAGAAGCCCTTTGCCAACAATAATGGGCTCCCCCACAAAGGTATGCCCAGGAGTCTGCTTTTGGGCTTCTCACAGCTTGATCTTCTGGGTTATTTGGGGATGAACTGCTGCACGATCAGATAACTCTGACCTGGATTTATCCCCACCCGATCACTATCCTTTGAGGGCTGTTTAGTGATCTGTGTGAAATGGGGTGGTGTCCTAGTTCTCAGTGGGCAGCTCTCACTTGGCAGCAGTGCTCAGCAGCTGAGCAGAGCCCGGGGTTTAGGGCAAGCAGTGGGAAGGAGCTGCCCTGGTTAGCAGGAGCACATCAGTGCCAGTGGTGTCTGGGCTCTTTGGATGCCGTGACCCGGCTCTGACGTCCGGCAGGAATCCCCAGCAGAGCCGGCAGACGGGCGAGCAGGTGACAGCCCTGTGCCTCACACAAAGCTGGCACCCTGACAGCATTTTCCTCTGCTTGTGTTGGGCTGCAACTAATTTTCAGAAGTTGGTTGTCCTTTCATTTTAGTCTTTCTGGGATTAGGGACAAATAATTGCAGTGGAATTTCTACCTTTATTTCAGGCATGTTGTTAAATGTTCCATTTGATTTTGATAAACCCACAGAGGCCAAGGGGAACCTTCCTCCTTCATTTTAAAGACAGATCTCCATTTTTTCTGTTCTTTTTAGGCTGTGTCCCCGTTTGAGTTTCCCAAAACCCCAAGTTCCCAGAATCTCCTCACCCTCTTGGCCCATCAGGGGGTCATGATGACTCCGACTCGGAACAAGACCTTGCCAGATCTGAAGGAGATGGGTCACTTCCACTGCCAGCAGACTGGGTTGGGATTGAGGCCTGTGGAAGAGATCAAGGGCAGGTGAGCTGTAGTCTGCTTCACTTCATACAGTGGTGCATCACTCCCCAATACAGGACAGATGGGGCAAATTTCAAGCCCCAGCTAATGTTGAAGTTGGAATGAAGCATCTGTAAATATTCAGTAGTTATCTGCTAGCACCCTTGGATTGCAAGCAGATACAATGCAGATTTTAAAAGTCTTCCTCTAAAGGGGCAGGCCATGGCCTGGGTTTTTTAAAATTAAAGACTAACTGCAGGATTTTATGACCAGACCAGACCCCTGCAGTTACTCACATGCTTGCTTTGATCTCTGTGGATCAAACCTGGACCTGTCATGAGTGAGAGGCTGTTCTGGGTGTTCCTCATCCATTGTACAGTGAGCACAGGTCTTCAGGAGAGAAACCATGTTTGAAAGCCATGTGCTGCCTGTCAGGAGCACTGCAGGATACAAAGCCACTGAGGTGTTGGTGTTAAGTTTTTCTTACATGCCCCTCTGCACACTGCAGCTTCTTCCAGTGATCTGAAGGAGTCCTCTGATACAGATTTGTGTGTCTTACATCCAAACCAAACTGTGTTGTAGTAATGTTGTAGTGAGGACTTGCATTACTGCAGTTAGTCACAGTAGTTGTACGCTTTCTACAAGTGGCAGGAGGTGCTTCAGATGCTCTGTTGAAAGAGGAGGAGTGGTTATTTCAGCTCCAGACTGTTTGCTGTGTAGTGTTAAGTGGCTGTGGACCAGGAATGGCACAAAGAAGTGGAAGTTAGCTGACATCTTGCACCTGTTGACTCTCTGCATCCTGTTGTATGTCTTCTTTTTAGATCTCTGAGCACAGGCAGGCTCACTGACCTGCTTCTGAAGGCAGCCTTCGGGGCACAGATCTCGGAAGCTGGCAGCAGCGACAGCCTGAACAATGAGAAGCCAATGGAAATTGCAGGTAGGTGGGGAGGCCAGGCAGATCTGGCAGGGTGTCCTGGGCTGGGTTGAGCAGTTTGCCTGCACACCTCCTGCAAATAGGAGGCTGCTTTGCTGGTGTCCCTTGGCACGGGCAGCGAGTGCTGTGTGTGAGCAGTGCCCTGGTGTTTGCTTTCCTTCGCCGAGCGCTCGGAGGTCTGTGGGCTGTGCGTGCTGTGTAATTGCTGGCTAGTGGTGTGATTTTTGTAGGCAGGGCTTCCTCTTCTGGCCCTTTCTGAATGTGGTAACATGTGGAAGTGGGGACTTTCTGCCAGGCAGCTGGAGTGTGAATGGCTCTGCAGGGGTGGGTGTTCCCAGGGCGGTGCAGGTCAGGCAGCGAGGAGGGGAGAGCAGTGTGTGACACTGCCCAGGCTCCTGTCCTGTGGTCTGTGCCAGCCTGGCCCCTGTTCCTGGGTGTGCCTCCACGGGGAGCACTGGCCTGTGCTGGTGGCCACTGTCTCCCAAGGGAGTCTGCAGGAGCTCAACCCGCTGGGCGAGGCACGCGGTGCTCTGAGTGACTTTCCTGTGATGCCAGTCTGCACCTTTCAACTGTCTCCCCAGCTCCCTCAGGTGCTTACGGAGGGACCCTGCACTCTGGTGCCCGGGCTGGGGGCTCTGCCAGCCCATCCCCAGTGATTTTTACTGTTGGATCCCCTCCCAGTGGAACAACCCCCCCACAGACCACGAGGACCAGGATGTTTTCAGGTAAAGGGCCGATTACCTACCTGCCTGTTCCAGTGGGAATGCCTGGGGGCAGAGAGACCTGTTGAATTCATTGCTGCCGGGCACTGGTGATGGCAGAGGGCTGCTCAGAGCAATCTGTAGAGCTCAGCTGGTCTCAGTACCTCTGAGGTTCTTGTGCTGTCTCCTGCCAACCCATTACTGCCGGTAATTGTTTGCACTGGCATTAGTGCCAGGTAGTGGTTTTCCAGTACTGTCAGAGACAAACTTTTGCTTTATTGCTCTCTGCTTCAGGAATAATGCTGCAGCTGTTCACTGTTGCTGAGAGGTCAACAAATGTAAAGATTGTGGTGTGTTCTGATTGTTTTCCCCGTGGGTTTTGGATGAGCTATAAAAGATGAGTGTGACTATCCGTGCCCAATTTCAGTGCATGAGAACTGTCAGGAAAGAGCCAGGATGGCTCTGTGTGCCAAATTATTAGTGGTGTTACTTATGCTCTGAGCTGCCTAGGTAGGAGATGGGGAACTGCACTCCTGCTTGACAGATACTTCTTGTAAGATGCCAGAACTCTGGCCTCGTCAGCCTCATTTGAGGCTGTGGTAATTGGCCCTTTTGGGATAGTGTGTCTGGGAGTTGGAGTCTATGTTCAGTTTAAGAAAATATTTGGACACTTTTATTTGCATATTTGGCTTGTTTGGGTTCTTGTCTTGGCTGTTCCTCATTTGAATGTAGTTGACTCTGTTGTTCTCAATTACTGCAGGGAAGGTTTGGATCTGACCATGAATAAGCTGCTTGACTGGGATGGGGGGACATGTGGGCTCAGTTCCTGTGTATAACTTGCATTTCCATCCTAACTAAAACCACTCACATCTGATTGCCTGGAAAGTTGGGACCACAATCCTTTCTTTGTCTCGTCTATTTGGAGGGTGAGCTTTGAGACTCTTAAAAAAAGTGTGTGAGGGGCCTGTAGCACAATGGGGTTACTGTCCTGGCTGCAGCCTCCAGCTACTACTGCAGCGTTATGGACAGAGGATTCATAGTTCCTGAACTGCTTTTGCAGGGATAAAAGCAATCTGGAAGCAGGTCCAACACCAGTTTTTAGCAGGTTGATACTTGAATGCTTAAAGGTCTGCCCAGCAGTTGGGATCTCAGATGGGATGCCTGGAAGAGAAGGCTGTGGAACAGTGAACCTACAACACACACAGCATTAGGTCAGGGTAGCCAAAGCAATGCTGTTGGACAAGTTTTGTTAATTAGGCCTGTGCAGTAACTCCTTATGTTATAGTTAATGGTGGAAAGGGGAGGTTTGCCAGCCAAAACTCTTCACCCCAAGTGCTTGGACAAGCCATGAGTAAGATCTCTTGACAGTTCTAAAGGCAGAGCCTTTCCGTGAGTCATCGTAACAATTTCTGCAAACAGCCTCTTGGAATTACAGGGCATCCAGACTGTGATATTGTAGGTCCTCTCCTCTCTCTGAGAGATCTGGAAATACTCTGCCTGTCTTTGATGAGCCACTTGGCTTTGAAGCATTGCTGCCAACACAGAGAGGCTGTGCCTCTCTGCAGATCAGTTGTGTGTTATTAGATTGCTGAACCTTTTGAAGGCAGGGTAAGGCAGTAAATTAAATTCATGGGTAGAAGAGAAACATCTTCCTCCAAAGGATCAGATTGGCATCCCCCCATCAGACAGAATATTTCCCTCTGTGGCAGTGTGTCAGGGATGGGAAGCCCTCTGGAAGTGGTGAATGTGTTATGAATACTTTGAGACAAAAACTCCTTTGTGCTCTTAGAGTGGATTCAATGGTCAAGAACAGGAAAATCTGATGGTGAAGGAATTGTCTGATGGACACTGTACTTACAGGGGTTAGGGTCTTGGCTCAGCTGAAGTCACTGATTCTGTGTCCAGCTTCCTGTTGGTAAAGAGGGGGAAGCAGAAGGGCAGGGCATGTGATGAAAAGCTCTCCTGGCTTGCATGCAGGATGTTCTAAAAACCATCACTTATCAGAGGTGCTCATTCAGTGACAGTGAGAGCAAAAAATCAGGGAGCCAGGGTTCTGCTTCATGATGGGGAACTTGGCTCTGTCGGTGTATGATAAAAACCAGCCCAAGTTCTTGTGGCAGGATTCAGAAAGGGTTTAGACAGAAAAAGAATAAAGAAAGTTCTTCTGAATTGTCTCCATAAATGACCGTCGTTCTGGAAGGTGCTTTAAATCTGCTTGAGCTTGTAAGCTGGTCTGCTGAGTCACTAAGGAGCTTATGGTGGGGAGTGGTTATCCTGCATCCAAGAGTCCTTGCATCTTCCTCCAAAGTACCTCTTGCTGGCTCCTGTCAGATCCAGGATCCTGAATCCTACAGACTTGTCCTCTCTCTCCCGGGTGAGGAATACCTACCTGGCCTGCTGTTAATAATACCTTCAGTAATTCCTTTGTCTGTTTTTCTTCTCAGTGGGGTCTTCCAGCTCCCTCAGTTCTGGAGGCTCCTTCAGTGGCAGGCACTTGGCAGTGGGAGCTGGTGGGGAGGCTCTGGAAGGTCCCTCGAGCCTCCGGTTCGCGTTCGCCGACCCCATCACCGCCAACCTGGAAGGTGCTGTCACATTTGAGGCACCAGAGTTGCCTGAAGAGACCCTCATGGAGGTGGGTATATCCCAGGGGCTGGTTAGGGGCAAGGGACAGGGGAATAAAAGCAAAGCAAATCCAGACAACTCTGTGTTTATACCCAAAGAGTTTGCCCCCAAAGGTGGAGAAAACTGGCCTCCAGAGAGCAAGGCCAGTGCAGTGCTCAGAAAGCCCTGGGCATATTTAGCACAGGGGATTTTGAGCCTGCTACCAAACTGTTTAGTCTGTGAGACAGCCCATGGCTGGGGTTAAAATTCACCATTTCCAAAGCTGAAATTGCAGGTTGGAAGCATGGGTTATCTGATGTGTTCTGAAGGAAACCTGCCTGCTTTGAGCCTTTTCCTTTTTAAAGGCTCAGCATCAGTAATAGCTGACCTGAGAACATGAGTAGCTTAGTGTATCAGGAGCCCTCCTGGTGCACTTGGGGAAGTCAGGCAGTGATATGGTCTCTGCTGAAAGGATCTGAAAACAAAGTAAACCTGACATTTCTGTTCCTGATGGGGGCGGGGGGAACACCGTGTTCTGCACCAGAACAGCTGAACCAGATTGTGGAGCTGAAAGGCTGCCAGGCTTCCCTTCTCTGCAGGCTGAAGCAGAGCAAATACTGTTATAGCTGAGATATATTTGAAATGTAGGTCAGGCTGCCCATTTGCAGTGGAGGTGGGAGGCAGATTCACTCACGCTTTGGGCTCTGCTTGTGATACCTCCTTGGGCTGTCTGGGGCTGGGGAAGGCTCTTTGTGTCTTACACTTGCTGGTGTTGCTGAAAACTTCTAGATGCCCACAGAGATATGCACACATTGTTTGAAGGATGTGGGTTTGCTCTTCTACTTCAGATTTTATTTAGCTCATTTTTTTCTGTCAATTATGCATCGAATTGCATTCGTTTGCTTCATTACCTGTAAAGCCACAGGGCTAAAGCTTCCAGCAGTGATGTGTTCACAAATTTAACTGAACATCCTACCTTTGTGAGGTCCCAGAAGTTTGGGGCCCTTCCAGCTGCCACCACTTTGGACACTGGTCTGAAGAGAAGTGTCCTAAGGAAGCATCAGCTTGATCTTGAAATAGCAGCTTCTATGTCTGCAGTGAGTCATTTGGCTTCAGTTGTCATTTCTGCTGAGCACAGCAATCCGTCTGCATGTCACAAAGCCTTCACAGCAGATTTCAAGACCCTTTTGTGCTCTGTGGAGTTGGCCAGAATGCAGACCTGGCAGGTTTTCTGATTTCTGCTGATCTTTCAGGGCACTGAAGTCTTACTATTTAAGTGCCCCTGTTTGTCTTGAGCTGAGCTGTTGCATTCAGATGGGTGGTTCTTCCATCTTTTGTAAAAGTTTCATTAGGTGCAGACAAGGCAAATTGAAGGCTGGGCTTTAGTTTAAAACACAATAAAGAGATGGGTACAGAAGGGAAGACTTGTGATGCCAAATGAGGCCATGAGTGCCAGCATAGCTACCAGAAGCTGCCTCTGTAGGCAGAGAGGAAGGACTGTGTGATGGTTAGAGATAGGAGGCTGAGACCTGCAGGATCTCAGCAGTTTCCTGCTCTGCCACAAACTTCTTGTATGACTTGGTAATTACTTAATCTCCAAGTTCCTCCTCTGCTTTTAAAGAAAATAGAGGAAGATGGAGATAACACTTCCTTACCATACTGGACTGTCCAGGTATCGAGTCAGTGGGAGGAGAGATTCATAATTCAGATAGTCAAAGCTGCCTTAGCAGCCAAGTCCCTGAGCCAGTAAATGAAAAACTAAAACTCTTAGAACTGATAAATTCATGTAGGAAACATCCTTACCAGCCCCCTTTGAGAGAACTAAGCCAGTGAATCTTTGAAGCTCAAGCAGGTTACCCACTTCTCAACAGAGAGAACAAACAATGGAGTTGCATCTGATCCAGGCAGCCATTCACTTTGCAGACCCACAAGCATTCAATTTTTCCACAAATGCTAACTTCCCAGAAATGCTTGCAGTGACTTAAGCAATGCAGCTTCCCAGAAATGGGATAATCCCCTTTGATCTGTAATAGCTGAGGAAAAACTGCTCTGAAATGACCATAGCACTTGGTGTGAGCACTTCCCTCACTGGCTGGACAGGAGCTGCAGATAAAAGGGTGTCTTTGCTGTCTCCTCAGAGGACCTCACCCAGGGCTCACTGTGCTGAACTGGGAGGGTATAAAGGCCAGGGCAGAGTGAGGGCTGGGATGTAGTGTGGGAGACACCTTGGTTGCAGTTTTCTGTGGTATAAGAGGTTGTCCTCTCATGAAATCCACACTGGCATTGCTGTGGTGGGAACAAGAGCTGGGCCCATAGTGCAGATGGTCTCTCCCCCTTCCTGGCTGAATTCTGAAAGAATCCCACAGAGCTGGGATCCTCCTGGGGAAGGTAACTTGTAATTTTAGAGTAAGCCTCACCAGTTTCTCCAGGGAGTTGCCCAGAAATTTCTGGCCTGGGGCTGTTGCTTGCTGCTGTTACTGTGGAAGAGGAGCTGGTGCGGGTACAAGCTCAAGGCTGAGTTTGGCTGTCCCTGCCCAAAGCAGAGGTGCAAGCAGGGTTTGGGGGGGTCAGGTGTTGTGTCTGTAAGCTGGGGTGAGTTGCTGGCACAGCTCAGGTGGGCAGCCCTCCCTGACATGCCAGCTTTCCCTCTAACCCCCACCTCGGCATCCCTTCAACAGCAAGAGCACACGGACATCCTGCGCAGCCTCCGCTTCACCCTGGCCTTTGTGCACTACGTGATGGAGATTGCAGCCCTGAAGGGCAGCTCCAGCGAGATGGGCACCTCAGTGACCTCTGAGTACCAGCTCCAGGAGAGCGTGGTGGCCGACCAGATCAGCCTCCTGAGCCGGGAGTGGAGGTAAGGACGGGCAGAGCTGCCCAGCTCCTCTGTCACTCCCTCCCTCCCCACATCTCCTCACGTAGCAGCAGTGCCTGGGGACACTGACTGCTGTCCCAGCCCCCTGGCTGCATTGCAGTGTGCTTTCTTTGCAGCTACGCAGAGCAGCTCGTGCTGTACCTGAAAGTGGCAGAGCTCCTGTCCTCGGGGCTGCAGATGGCCATAGAGCAGATCAAAGCTGGCAAGCTGTGCCTCTCCTCCACTGTCAAGCAAGGTAAGGGGCCCTGGGCTCGCAGTGCAACTCACCTGGAATGGAAGCATCACAGAGGGCTGGAGGGGGTGGAGTGAGTGTGAACACCCCACTGGTATGAGGGGTCATTTGTGATTGTCCCTTGGCACACTCAGATCTTCTTTATTCACGCTGAGAACTGGACTAATACCTGCATCTGAGCTCTGACTGCTTTACTTTATTACACTGAAGTCAAAATTCCTCCCTCTCTCCAGCCCTGGGGAAAGTGAGGTTGTGTGCCCTGGTGTGCATTTCGCCTGTTCACACTCTGGGTACATCCTCTGCTGAGAACGTTCCTCTCTTCACATTGACTTTCTGTCTCAGAGCTCTTGTCATGCCCCTGTGAGAATCTCCAGCACTAATTAGTGAGGGGGGGATGTATCTTATCTGATTCCTCATATATCTCTGTCTCAGGTGCTTATTTGTACCTGACGTAAGCCCAACTTAATTACACAGTGCATGTCCTAGGAAGTGCTTACTTGGCAAATTAAGACCTGTCCTGGCAATGATGGTTTTTCAAGTGAAACAAAAACACAGGAAGTGAAGTACTGGTAATGCCAGAGTCACTTCTTTGCAGGTGTTACAGCCTTAAATTTGCATCTGACTGGCTCTGGTGAGAGCTGGCTGTGATTTGGTGATTAGAAAAAAATAATTTTAAAACTCCCATTGTAATGTTCCTGAGGGAGCTTTTTGAAGCACTTGAAGTACTTGACCCACCAGCCACCTTCCCCAAGAGCTGAGACTCTGAAAGTATTTGTGCTGCCTTGGGATGGGGTGTAAAAAAAATGGAAGTTAAATATGATGAGCACACATATGTTGTAGCAAACAGTGTGGAGGAAGATACACCAGGTTTAGCTGCACAACTTCCACAAGTTCAGACTAACAGGAAAGTTGTCATAACCCAAATAAATCACTCCTTTTCAGAGCAGATTGCAGCTTCTAGATGTGTAGTGTAATTTGCCCTTCAGTGTGTAGGAACTGGGCAAGGCTGGTTTGTGTTGTTTCATGCAGTGTGGGGATTAGCAAATGTGCAGCGTAGGAGTTAGTACTCATCAGATGTTGGTGGGAGTTTGTGTTCAGTACTCTGTGTAGATCATGCCATGCAGCCAGGGAGACTCAGCCCGTGGCACCACTTGCTGTTTTGGATTGTTATTTAATCCCTCAGAATCATATTTGATTCCTGATTCCCTGTTCCATAACCACGAGCTGCCGTGGTTCCAGGGGGAGGAGGTGGCATTTCTCAGGCATCCGTGTTTTTTCTTTCTGGGACAGCAGAGTCCCAGGAGAGATTCCCTTGCTTAGTCAATGCTGCTCATCCACACTGTGCTGCCACATGGGAGTCACGTCCTCCCTCACAGCGTGTCATCACCCATCAAGTAGCAGAAGCTCCGTATCTGCACGTCCGCGGCTTCTGGTGGCGCGTGAGACATCTTGGGTGGTGCAAACTGCTCCCTGCCTTGTGACAGCTGAGGGAAACAAAAATAGACCTGGCCTCAGGTGAACCAGACGTGTGTAGGTGGTGCCATGTGCAGGCTTGGAACTGGTGAAGGTGACAGAGGAAAGGGAAAGGACCCTCTTGGTGCAGGACTTTCCTGCCAGTCTCTTGGCTTTTAACATAACCCTGTTGTCTCTCAGTTAATCATTCGAGGTCCTGCATGTGGAGATGGGGAGGCACAGGGAGGGCTGGAAGTAGTGCCTGAAGCATTTCTTTCCTTTGCTCTAGTTGTGAAGAAGCTGAATGAGCTTTATAAATCCAGTGTATCGTCCTGCCACTGCCTCAACGTGAGACTCCAGAGGTTCTTCTTGGACAAACAGAAGCTCATGGATCGGATCAACAGCATCACTGCAGAGAAGCTCATCTTCAGCTACGCCGTGCAAATGGTACGAACCACAGGGTCAGCACAGACCATTGTTGGGTGCTGTGGATCCTGCTGGTGGCCTTAGCAGGGGGTTTCCCTCGTGATGCTGTGTGCAGCCTCTGGAGGCTGGGCAAGGGGGGGTGTTCTCCCAGCTGAGGGACCATACTGGGAAAGCTGGGTGTGCTCTGGGAGTAACCTCTCGCTGCTGGGTTGTTGCCTGCAGGTGCAGTCTGCAGCCCTGGATGAGATGTTCCACCACAGGGAGGACTGTGCACAGAGGTACCACAAGGCTCTGCTGCTGATGGAGGGGCTCCTGAACATCATCACTGAACAGGGAGACATAGAAAACATCAGTAAATGTGAGTGCTCAGTGACTTTTTTTGTTCCTCCAGCTAGAACATGTGGGTTTTTTTAGCTGCATGGATCAGACATTTTAGTTCCCAGCTACCTTTTTTTCCTTTGGCTACATCTTGGTGGACATAGCAGAGATATCTTGGCTTGTTACAGCTCCTCGTAGCCTGGCTTCCTGCTTTTCCAGCAGGAAAACTGTTACAAGTGCAGGTCCCTGTTCTGAGCCCTATTTTGGGAGCTTCCCATGCAGAGCGATTGCCAGTGCTTTGTTGGAACTTTTGATGTGTGAAAGAACTCGCTGAAGGAAGTGGTTTGGCAACAGCAGGGGCCTGGGTTTGGTTCCCAGCCGGAACCACCCTTGTGATTGCACAGAGCCCTTGGGAATGTGGAGCTGCAGCAGCTGCCGGGCAGGGATGTCCGGTCAGCACAGCCAGGGCTCCTTCCAGCACATCTTTGAGTCAGGACTGCTTCGCCTGCCTGGTTCCCCAGGCCTGGCTGAGAAAGCAGCAGACTCGTATTTTTTCTCATCAGCAAGTGCTTGCTGTAGCAGTGAAAGCAGAGCTCTTACCTGTGTGCTCCCGTTGGGCTTCCCCTCCCCGGAGGCGGCTGCTCCGAGCTGAGCTGTCCCGTCTCTCCCGCTCTCCCTGTGTCCTGAGGGGTGTTACTCTGCACTGCCCCAGGCTCCACAGCACTGCACTCCATGTGCAGGGGAAAGGACTCACCTCACTGCTCTGAGCACACTTTCCCTGCCCTTATGGCTGGGGTTTAATCACCTCTGTCATCTGTCCCTGCGGGAGGCAGGCACAGGGGATGGGGGATAGCCGGGATTGTCTATGGGAGCAGCTCGGCTCAGCCTGGGCTCTGCTCCACCACAGCCATCCCAGCCCACCTGCAGCAGCCCCAGTGGTGTCCCTGTGGCTGCAGGGGGAGGCCACAGCTGGCAGCCCATGTGTCCCTCCCCTCTGCTGCCCACCCTCTGCCTGCCTCGGGCGAGTCCAGGGCGCTGCTGGGCGGCTCCAGCCGTCTGTGCAGGCAGAGCTCGGATGGGTAATGAGAGGAGAGACTTCTGGCTCCCAGGCAATCAGTCAGTTAATTATCACCAACTTCCACAGCTGACACGAGGCTCACTGAAGGAGAGCAAAGGGAGATGGGCAGGTGTTGTGTGGTACTGGAGGGGAAGTGAATAGGGAATACGAGGTAGTTTCTATTCTATTGTTTCTTACCAAACCTAAATTGCATCTTTTGATCCAGAGATACTGTTAATGCATCTAATAGATTTCTTTTCCCACTTGTTATCCTGATATTCCCTGTTTTACCACTTGCTGTCCTGATATTACCTGTTTTGCCATGTTCCAGCTTCCCGATTGAGCTGTTCTCTGGTAGGCAGAAGTAGGTGTGCATTTCATTTTAGATCTCAGGTATATGATTACTTATTTCTGGAACATAAAATGATGAACCTAGAAATGCAGCAAGTGTTCCTGTGAGAGGCATGAATTCCACCAAACATTTAGCTCCTGAAAGAGTCTTGGGCTCAGATGATGAGAACCCATCTCTCAGTGTAAGCCTTGGCAAATGGCACTGGAGACCCTGAGTCATGTTGCCTGCTGGCAGAAACCGCTCCAATAACTGGAAATAAATAAATTGTTCCTGGCAGATGGTGGTTCTTTATAACATCTTGATACCTCTGTCAGAGCTGCTGCCTCCCAGCTTTCACTGTTGGATGTCTGACTTCAATGCTTCGACCTGTCCCTTCCCAGCAGGGTGTTTGTGGTCAGGTCTTCACCGGCCTAATCAGTACCTGGTAACGATTCTCAAAGTGCTGCTTAGATTTGCTGAAATTCTGCTGCTTGTTTTTCATTTTTTGTTCAATCTCCAGCATGGCTTGGTGGTCTTTATATTGCCAGGAAGATGAGAAGTTCATTGCTGTTGTTTCTTGCCCCCAGGTAAGCTGTGCATCGAGCGCAGGCTGTCGGCGCTGCTGTCGGGGTTCTGTGCCTGATTCCAGTGGTGTTGTTCCTCACACACCTCGCCCCAGCTGATTGCTTTGTTCCCAACGGCCTGCTGCTGTGCTGGGAAACGATTCTGGCAGTAGGAGACCTGGAGGATGAACTGCTCACTGTTTTGTATTTGGACGTTTTGGGAAGTTGTTCCACAGACTCGGATTCCTTTGTGGGGACGTGCGGCGGCAGCAAGCACAAATAATTCCCTGCCCGAGGGCCTGGGCGAAGACATGGCCAGTGTGGGAAGGTCTCCCTCGTTGTCAGAGGGGATGAAGGATAGAAGTCTGCTTCTTCCCAGCACGTTGAAGGATGAGGCTGCTGCCTACCCCTCTTGCTTAAGAACAGGGTATTCCAGTGCTGTGTCCATTGCAGGCAATGGATGTGCTGAAACTGCTGGCTTCAGTTAATGTTGGAGGGTGTCATTCAGAAATAAAGGCCAGTTTGTGTACTTCCCCCTTCCCAGCTGAGAGCCAGGCATCTTCAAGCTTCCTGGCAACCGGAGGCTCCCCTCCATCCTCTCCTTTGTCCCTTCTCATTGTGTTCATGCCTTGGAGTGCTTCCTGCATGGCAGAGAGGAGGGAGTCGGCGCCGAAGGAGCTCCCACCTCCACAGACTTGCTGAGCGAGGCAGAGGATGTGCTGCTGCTGCTGCTGGGAAGCAAATCCCATGGCTGCTGTGTGGGCTCCCTCTCTGCCTGCCTGGATGGGCGACCGACACAGGGAAAGGGACTGTGCAGGAAACGGGAGGGCGACAGAAAGCGCGACGCTCCCGTGTTCGTAAGAAACGAAAAGGAATCCGTTCCTCCCTTGGTCCCCAAGCCCAGTGGGATCAATGTGAAAGACTCCTGGCTGTTGAGCTCGTCCCTACCAGGAGGAAGCACTGGCGCTGTCCTGCTTTCAGCTGTTGGCTCAATAACCCCTTCCTGGAGCCCCCCCAGACTGAAAACACTAGCTTTGTGAATCAAAGGAGCACTTTACACACTATGGGAACTTGGAGAAGTTGACTTTGCATCACACAACAACCCAGGAACATCACGACTGTTAGGAATGCTGTTCTTTTTATTCCTTTCCTTGCTTCCTGGTTGTTTTATTGCACTACGTGTGTGCGTATATTAATATGTATTCCTGAGAGTGAATATATATTGATATTGATATGGTTTGTGTGTAACTGTACGTATTTAACTGTACTGTATCTCGTGAGTGTGAGGCAAAGAGCACTGCAGTCTGTGCTGTTCCTCCTCCTCACCAGGCAAAGCTGACTTGCAGTCTGGCAGTACCAAGATTTGTTTTGTTTTTTATTTAAATGTTCTTTTAAGGACAGTCGATACAAAGCTCCGTGCTTTTTAAGAGCTGAAGAACAGGCGTTAAGATCCCACACACTTACACTTGGAAATGCGTTTTTTAAGAAGTTTTATTTGCTGCTTCGTTGTTGTTGTTGGGGTTTTTTTTATAAAGAAATCTTGTAGCGTTCAGTTTTATGTTCAGCATTTCTTTCAAGGAGACTCTGCAGCCAAATGAGACTGTGGGTGTGAGTGGCTCGAGTTCTGGTTGAGGCTTTGGGTGCTGTGAGCATGTGTGTGAGAGGAGAGCTGCCTGCCTCCCATCTGTCTGTGAGAGCATGAGTGTGTCAGACCTGAGTCGTGGCAGTATTTTGTTAGAGCTGGGCAGAAAAGCATCTTTGAAAGCAACTCAAAACCTCAGGCTTAGTTTTTGGGGATCTAAAAAATATTTTTGCACACGGTGGTTAGGTCCTCGTTGCTTTTTTTTTTCCCCTCTCCATGTTGGCACGTTCATTGTGATACTTCGCAAGGGTTTCAGGAGCAACTTCGTTGGTTTTGGAGCTGGCGCCGTGTTTGGCAACACGGGGTGTTTCTGTTCGCAGAGCAGAAATGCCAGTAAAGAAATTTAAAAATATTTCCAATTGCAACACGGGTGTTTCTGTTCACAGAGCAGAAATGCCAAGAAAGAAATTTAAAAATATTTCCAATTGCCCCGACCAGGGAAGTTTAAGTGTAGCTTTCACAAATGCTTCAGTATTTGGCCGCTGTTACCCCGTACGTCCACAGTCTGCTGCTTCTGTGGCCGTTTGTGCTTGTGCCTGGGAAAAAAAGAGAAAGGAAAGAAGACAAGACAAAACCAACCAACCAACCAACCCTCCCCAGCCTGTGGATAGAAACGCCAAGGAGACCCAGACTGCTGCTGAAAGGCTTTGGCCAGATCTGCAAAGGGCTGCGCTGCAGGCGGGAGCACCGGGAGGCAGCGCCAAGCCAGGACTGATTCTGCAATACCAACTCCTGCTGCACACCACAGACCCTCCTGGCAAAGCCCCCAGGGAGGGAGAGGCACATCCCGGGATCCACGTCCCTGCCAGGGAGAGGCACATCCCGGGATCCACGTCCCTGCCGCGCCCCAGTGACCCGTGTGTGTGTGTGTGTGTGTGTGGCAAGCTCAGCACTAACCTTCCAGCTGTACTTAATTACTTGAATGTATCAAAAAATTGTCCACATTCAATGTATACAAGTATATATTGCTCCAAAAAGAAAAAAATAATTGTGGTTTACAGACCTACAACCAATATATATGTATGTGTTTGTGTATATACATACAAGGCTGTGTGTGTGTATGTGTGTGCATGGGTAGAGATACACACACAAACACAAACGTGTATATATATGTTTTCTCTCAATACTTGAAACTTAGCCACTGTGCTTGAATTAAAAAAAAGAAAAAAAGCAAACAAAAAAACCCACAAAAAACCCACACAAAATAACCCCAAAAATAGGGGAGATAAAAAAAAAAAAAAAGAAAAAGAAAAATAGAAAAACAAATCCAACAGGTGATTTATTTTGCCATCACTTTAGTGACTTTCTTTTTTATCTAACTGCATGTAGCGTGGAACCAACTTTTTAGGTGAAAAATATTTATTGCTTTGTAGACAATAAGGTATGCAAAAAACAAAAAAAAGAAAGAAAACACCCCAAAAACCAACCCCCAACCATTGTTGAAGTTGCTAGTGTAGTCCACCTGCTATTGTCATGGCTTTGTTGCTGTTGCAGCGTTTGTGTCTGGCGTCTTTAATAGATTTCAAGAAACCTCAGTCTAATAAAACACGTACCTTCAGGTTTGTGAGAGCGTATGATGATGTTCTTTATAAGGTAATGCTTGATACTTTGTCAACATTTTTTATTTGTGTTTTGTGTGACTTTTTTTTTTTTTGGCTTTAAATTGTACAACACCAATTTAAGAAAATAAAATTGATTTGAAATTGTTAGTGGCCTGTTTTCAGTACTTTATATTTCCAGTTAGTGCAGTGTCTGGGTGAGGTCTTTAATGTGTTTGGTTCTACCAGCTTTGACTTTTCAGGCAGAGGAAGGGCTGTTGCCCCCTTTTCACAGCAGGTGAAGCTTGAGGCAGAAAACCCACCTTGCCTGAAGGTGCAAGCCTTTGAATTTGGAAAAGTCAAAGCCACTTTCTGGGTGTTGCTTTACCTGTCCTTATAACAGGCTGTGCTCTCCTCCTGCAATGGTTAGAAACTGTCACAAGTTGATAGCAAACCCTTTCCCAGCCAGTCAGAGGCTTAAATTTTGTCCATGTATCAGTATTTGCAGGATCAGCCTGTCAGAGTTATTTATTACTTCCCACCCCTGTGCAGAGCACTCTGGACCATGGGTGCTTGATGGCCATGTGAAGGGTGAGAATGGAGTGTGGGTTTGGGGTGGTGGTTTTACAAGACCTAGTAATTACCTATTATTTTAAACTCTATTAATAATTTTTAAAATTAATAGAGTCAGAAAGCTTGTTGCTGGAAAAGGGGCTTAAAGGTGAAGTGTGAGTATTGTGATAAGATTTGGGTGTTTTTAATTATGATTAAATATTTTACTGCTGTGTTTGTACTCACTGCAGTTTATTTGTACAGAGCAGGCACATGGCTTAGTTTTCTCCTGCCCATGTAGCTCTGCAAAAAGTCACTGAAGGTGGGAGAAAGGACAGGAGGATGGTGAGAGATTGGTTGCCGTCCCTGCTCTGTCTGGATCGGAATATTCCAGGATGAAAACCTGAGCCCTGCATCTGGGATGTGGGAGAGGTGCTGAATCAATTAGTCCAGTCCTTCCACTTACGACATCCAAATACTGTAATTCCACCAAACACTTCCCAAACCCCCCTTGCTGGACTGTGTGTTATTGTTGGCCGGGAGCATCTCCAGGGACAGTCCTGCCCAGCAGCCCCGGCGTGACGTGGCATCGCCCCACACAGTTACTGGACAGTGTCGTGTTTTTGTAAGGAAAGACCTTATTTCAAAATCGTAACTTACCCTGAGCTGGAATTGTTTTTTCTTGCTCTGCCCTGTTTATAACCTCTGTTTCCTGCCCCTGCCTTTCCCACCCCGGGCAGTTGCTCTGTGAGAATGGTCCTGCCTGGAAATGCCGGGCTCTGGGCGCTTGTTGACCCTGAGTCACCCGGGGACATTCGATCCCTTCTCCCTGCAGCAGCATCAGTGCTGGGGACAGCTCTGAGAACCTGCACTGCTGGGTGGGGAAGACGTGGTGGTGCAACCTGGGCAAGACCCCACAGCAGCCCTTGGAAAGCTGGTCAGAGCTGAACAGTTACAAATGCTGGTGTTGGTAAAGTTTGACAGCTCAGCACGCTCGGTCTTTGCTTTCGTGGGGGTTTGGTGGGGGTTTTGTTTGTGGGGGTTTTAACATGTAAAGCTCCCTTTTGTGGAAAAACTTTGTGTGTGCCTGTTCCCTGCAGCATGGGATTGTGGTACAGAAAATATATGTATAATATATGTGTGTGTATATATGTGTGTCTGTGTGTGTATATGCATGTATATATATATACACATGTATATATATACACACACTTAGATATATACACATATAGATATTTACACATATGGATTTTTACACATATAGATATATAACAGTTTCTGATGCTGAGGTTAAGGGAGAGGGTTTCTTTTGAAGCTGCCCATGAAGAATTCTAAAGGTTCAGGTGAAAACACTGTAGCCAAATGAAAGATGGAGCACTGTTGTGTCACATGCCTGTGTGGATAGAGAATACTCTGCTGAATCCATAGGACTCTGTCACAGGCAGCAGAGCAAAGGGGGAAAGTGCTAGCTGGGAAGACTTAAACAACAGAAATAAACAGGCTCTTCTAAAAGCCGTGGGGCCTGAACAGTTCAAAAGCACCGGTGAAAATTGCACAACTTTCTAGATGTTGACTGTGACGTTATGCTGCTGTTGATTTTGGGAGAAAACAAACCCGAGCAATTCTTCCAGGGCATTTGGCTCCATTCCCGTGTTTTATATTTAGTTGTTGGTAAGTACGTCAGTGAAAACATGCTCATTCAACTCTGAAAGATCAGAGGTGACTTGGTGACATCAAGGAAGTAGAAATGAGTGGGTGTGTGTTGAACCACAGTGATACAAAGACCAAGTACTCGCTTCCAGCTCTTGTAAAGCTTCATTTCGTGAGGAGTTAACTCCTTCACAGCACATCCGAGCTCTGTGGTGTTCAACCTGACATCCCTCCTCTGCAGTGGCACCCTGGGGTGCTGAGCAGGGGAATGGCTGTGGAAGGTGTGATGGCTGGAGGGGTTTTGCTGAGGGAGAACAAGGGGCTGTGTGCAGGGAGACAGGGCAGGAATCGATGCTCTCCAAACACCAGCGGTTGGATTTATTTAACTTTATTACCATAAATGTAGCGTCGAGGGTGGGTGCCATTCCCTGGGTGAGGAGTGGCACGTAGTGCAGGGATGCAAACTTCCCCTGGGACATTTCTTTCTAAAAACAGCATTTTTAGGGACAATAGAGGCACAACCACCCCCCTCCTGGGAGCTGAAACCTGGCAAGGGATCTGAGTGCTTTCAGAAACCACGTTAAACAGCGTATTTCTAAGACGGAGCTGAGGCAAATGTCAAACACAGATTTCTTCCCTTACCATGGACAGAGGGTAACTGAGTTCCCAAATACACAAAATTATCCTTCATGATCCCTTGCTGAGACCCAGACACTACTGCTAGAGCTCCCTGGGAGCTGGACCCAGCCACCACTCATGTTGTAAAATGTGCCTGTGTGTGTCCACAACGTGGCTCAGATCCAAAGCCCTGGTGCAAGAAAAGTCAGCTCCCAAAAAGCCATTCCAAAGTCCAGAGCATGAGGGAACACACTGCAGATCTACAGCACGTGGGGTTTGTGTCTTCTCAGAATCTGCTGTGTGTGAGTATTTCCTTACATCAGCACAGGGGTCATGAGTGCACTGTGGTGGGGAATTACAAGAGTGCTCGGGTTCCTGCTGCAGGTAACCTCGAAACACGAGTGAAATGGTGCTGAACTCCCAATTCAGATCTTGTTCAGGCAGTCCAGTCACTTCCAAGTGGGAAAGGACTGGCCTGTGTTACACTGGGAACACCTGGTGGAGGAAAGAACACTTGACTTGGTCCCAGACAGGAACATTCTCCACAGCTGAAAGAGTTTTCACCGCTTTTCCTTTGTATTCTCCTGTGTGCTTGTTTCCAGCTAATGGCCTGATATGGAACTGCAGACTAAGGTGCTCCTCGTCCCTTGCAGTGCAGCTTGTCTCCAGTTCCCAACAGAGAGGTAAATGTCTTTTAATTACAACATTTGGTATCTCCTGAACTTCTAGTGCTGTGCAGCAAAGCCTCATTAAAGATCAGTTCAGCAGACTTTTTCTTCCCTCTAACAGAAAACGATTGGAAGAATGTGTCCTTCAAAACACAATGTTCCCTCAGAGCTTTTTGTATTGATTTAAAACAATATTTCTCAGTGAATTTAAGGCAATTCCTCTTGAAATAAACATGTAATTTCTCAAAGGAGGCCTTGGGGAGGAGGATGAGAAGGTTGCTGGGGTCACATTGCCACAGCAGAGCAGGAACAGGCTGCTCTGGGGGACAGCCTGGAGTGTCCCCGGGCTGGGAGGAGTGGGAGCCGCGCCAGAGGTGCCCTGGCGGGGAGCAGCCATGGAGCCAAGGCTGTGGATGCTCCCAGGACAAGGCAGGAGGCGGCCGTTCGCGTTGCCAGAGCCCCATCTGCAGGCGGCCGCACAGTTTGGAGTGAGGAGTGACACCGACATCGCTGTGAAAATTAAATGAACTGCCTCAAAACGTGACCATGCCCGATCTCCCGTCCTGCAGCCGTTCTGCTCCCTGTTCTGTAAAGGTTAATTGTCTGTGAGCCCCCAGATGCACTGGGTGGTTCCTACAGAGCTTTGACGAGGCTTTGATTTCACGGCTTCCACGGAACACTTGGGCAACTCTGGCAAGTCACTTTGATTTCTCCTTGCCTTTGGTGGCAAGATAAAATAGATAAATTATATATAGATGTTTAAAGATAAAATAGATAAATTACATAGAGAGGCTTAAAGATAAAATAGATAAGTTATATATGGATGCTTAAAGATAAAATAGATAAGTTAAAAAGCAAGAGGCAGGATGCGCCATGGCAAGTTGAGAGCACAGCCCATGCTGCCTGTTTTGAAGCTTCTTGGCTGCTCTTGGAATAGGTAAGGAGCTGGGGTACCAAAGCTTTTTCCCTCGTGGGATATCCATGTAAGTCTTTCTCTTGTCCCATCACTGTTTTTTGGATCATCTGGGGTCTTCTTCCCTCTCCCAAATTCAACTGAAATGAGCCAAATTCAGAAATCAGGGCAGGGGAGGAGGAAGGAGCGACATGGTGGACAGGCAGCACGATTGCATAAGCTCCACTTCCTAAGGAAATGAGGCAAAAAAAGATTC